AGAGAGAAAGAGAAGGAAGGAAGGAAGGAAAGAAGGAAAGAAGGCAGGCAGGCAGGCAGGCAACTGGACTTTTTGTTTTTCCTTGAAGATGTTTTGTTTCTCGTCCAAGGAATCATTCTTCCATTCTGACTTAAGCTTCCTGGATGAGAAGCGAAAAACAAACAAAGTCCAGGTGCCTTTTGGGGGGAGGAAAAAAGCCACCTTTGGGACAACCGTGACCTGGACGGAGCATCCCCGTAGACAGATTTCTCCTTTTTTCCCCCCTGAGACCATTTTCTTGGACTCGTACCTAGCCGAGGCTTCCTTAAGCTCTTTTACAGCTATTCGACTCCACTTAAAAGTTCCCCTCCAGCGCGGGGAATCGGGAATCCAGGCCGTTCAAATGAATACAGGTTTACGGCACGCCAACAGTCTCTGCGAGATCCTGAACTACCAATGGTCAAAGCAAAATGGCGGTAGATAAGAGTCAAGGAGGGCTGGGCTTGGCTCTCCTCTGGGCACGCAGGTGCTCGAGACTTATGACACGCTCGACCCCTCCCTCGGGCTCAGCCTGGTCATCTCCCACAATACGGTTGGGACCCATCAGGAGTAGCCATGCTTCCTTTCTCCGACGGACGCAATGACCTTTGCATCAAGCAGTGATCCCTGGATTTTTTCGGCAAACAGTTCACGCCCCGTCACCCAGCTGTGAAGACAAGCATCTCTTATATAATTGCTTGCAACAGAGCCTTCATATCCGTTCTGCCCAATTCGGGTTGAAACACTGACAGAGACCTCTCCACCCTTTGCGGAGGAGGAGGAGGAGGAGGAGGAGGAGGAGGAGGAGGAGGTCGAATGAGGCAATCTCGGATTATTCCCAGCTGTCCGCTTCCCTAGGCCTTCTTCCTCCCGAGAAGGAAAGGCACTGATTCAGCAAAAAGCAGCTGTCTAATTCAATCTTCTCCTTTCTGCTGCCGCTGCTTAGAAGGCAGTTGATTAATAGCCACGATTACAGCAGTTAACCAGGCTGGACAAACAAAGATGAGGAGAAGAAGAAGAAAAAAAACCCACCAACTGTTGTCTGGGAGGAGAAGGGTTGCACGTGGAAATCTTCCTTCTTGGGTTGCGTAAAGGACCAACAAGGGAAAGGGACAGTTGTGCGATAAGATCAAAATTGTCTCAGTCCTAAAGGATGGGAGAGAATTCCCTGAGCCAGTTGCTAATGCTGAGCGTTTGTAATGGCGTGTGAGAAAGACCTTGGGGTACTGGAGGAAGAGAAGGGGATGGACAGATAAGAGACTGCTTAGCCCCCAGCTGGATAATGGGAGGGACAAAAGCTTCAGAAGGGACCCTACCTAGTTTCTCAGGGAGTAAAGGAGATTGGGGGGGGGGGGAGATTGTACTGTCAGAACTGCAAGATTCTGTCAACGTAGCCTTATAAGGCAGGGGTCCTCAACCTTATATAAGGAAATAAAATCAGCTCCTCATAACTGGGATGTGACATGAATGTTGGTCTCCAGCTTAGTTATCCGCCCGGCGTTTGAACCCGGCAGTTGGGTTAATTCAGTAAATCACAGCTGGGTGATGCAAAATTTAGCCTGTGAGGTTCACAGCAAGCAGGCCCGTGGCCAGTGGAGGGACGTGGATCCCTCTAATTGACGAATCGATGGATTCCATGACATCAAGTCATTGCTGATGCTCAGCAACCAGGGATAGATTTTTTCCATGATGATCTGGCCTGGAGCCCATCTCTTGAGTTCTTCCACCAGCAATGGATCAATTAGATAATTGATTCCTCTAATTCAGAGTTCCCCGACCTGTCCGGCTTTGTGGACTGGCGGGACGGGGGGGGAGAGGGGATGGTTCCACATGAGTGGCAGGCGAGCGCACGGATACGTGCGCACCCACCATTCACGCAAGTGAGGATGTGCATGTGTGCATGCACTCCCCCTCCATTTCTGAGGCCCGGTTCCGAATGGCTCAAGGCCCGGTGATGGGCTGTGGCCCAAGAGTTGCGGACCCTTGCTCTAATTGATTCAGCCCAGCTCTCCAGTTTTTCCGACGGGATTTTGTTCTTGTCTCTCCTGGAATTGTCAAGAAGGCCACGGTTTTTTATCATCCCTGCTGCCAAATACCAAAAAAAAAAAAAAAAAAAGCAGAAGCTGTTTTGGAAAGTCAGCATCTGGTTGATGATACTTGATTTACTAATTTACTAATTTAATAATAGCCCCAACTGTTTGGGAGGAGGAAGAGTCCATGATTAAGAAGGAGCTTGGAAATTATGGGATGCGTTGGTGGAACGCCCAGAGTCATCAGCCACATTTTAATTTTGCAGGTTATGGAAATTCAAGCCTTGTTTTATGGTCCATGGTGTCCTGCAAAATATCTGCAAGAAAACCACCAAGCTTAGAGAGCACCAAGGACCCCACAGTCTTCCTCCTCCTCCTCCTCCTCCTCCAAAACCCCACTCCCTTCTAGCACTGATGATGTTACCTAGTTGGGTAATGAAATGTCTTCAAGAAAACCACCAAGCTTCCCTCCCCTGCATTCCCCTCCCCTTCCTTTCCCTTCCCTCCCCTCTTCCCTCCCCTCCCCTTCCCCTGCCTTCCCTCCTCTTCCCTTCCTCTGCCCCCCCTTCCTTCCCCTCCTCTCCTCTCCCTTCCCTTCCCTTCCCTTCACAAAGCCAATTCCGAGAGAGGGACAGCAGTGTTTCCTCTCCTCCCCTCATCCGTGTAACTACATAGCGGTAGTATTTTAATTGAAAACAGGGCAATTAAACGCTGTTCCTTCTCTTAATGATCTGTGGCCATCAACGAGAAGCAAAATTAAACCACTGAGAAACGTGATCTGCAAATGCCCGCTTGGGAGAAAACAATGACCTCAGTGCAGCAGATTTTAAAAGATAAATTTAAAATAACCCCATCCTCTTTTTTTTTCCAAATTATAACAACAACGAGAAGAAGAGGGCGTCTCCACGTGCAACGAACAAGTCCCTTCAGTGATGCTCAGCTGAAACCCAAGTTATGACCATATAGGGAAAGGCATGGCTGCAGTCATAACTTGGAATTCAGCTGAGCATCCTACACTTGTAGGGCGTGACTAAAGAAAGAACATCCACTCTTCCTTTAGGTGGGAACCATGAAATCTGGAGAGGATTATACAGTGCAAAGTGGGGGAGGGGGTTGGCCCCCGGGCTTTTGGCCAAACTTCACTACTGTATGTGCAAGAACCCCCTTCTCCCACCCCCAATTCTACCCATGGAGAATCTGGCTGGATTTTTTCTTTCTCCCTCGGAATGAAACGTTGGCCACAATTTCAGAGCAGAAAAAAAATTAAAGGCAGTCCTCAACCTTCAACAGTTCATTTAGTGACCATTCCAAGTTACAACGGCACCGGGGGGGGAAAAGTGACTTAGGACCGTTTTTTCAGGCTTACGACCATGGCAGCACGCCCCGTGGTTACGTGATCCGAGTTCGGATGCTCAGCCGCTGGTTCCTATTTATGACGGTGGCAGTTTGCCGGGGTCTCGTGATCCCCCTTTTGCGACCTGCTGACATGCAAAGTTAAGGGGGGGGAGCCAGGTTCACTTACCGACCAGGTGACCCACTCCCCAACGGCAACGATTCACTTAACAAGCGTGGCGAGAAAAGTCGTAAAATGGGACCAAGCTCAACGTGTCACAAATGCTTCGCTGAGCCACGTACATTTGGGGCTCAAACGGTGGCCGTAACTTCGAGGACCACCTGCGCTCTGACTAGACCTAGGCTTTGGCTGCTTGATCAGTGGAGGTGAATGTCACTGCGGTCCATTTCAGAGTGTCCATCCCAGTGGCCGTGAATGCAGGACGACACACACACACACACACACACACTCCAAATTTCAATGCTTTACATAAGAGTTTTATTGTGCCAGCTTCTCTCTCTCTCTCTCTCTCTCTCTCTCTCTCTCTCTCTCTCTCTCTCTGCACCCCTTGCAGCCTAGATTCAGCCCCCCTCCCCTGCCTTCTTGATAGCATCTCCCCCCACCCACCCCAGGGATCTTGCTGCTGGAGAGGGCTGCGGGCTGCTTGCCAAACCCTGCTGGCTGAAAGCAAACACCACAGAAACTGCTGGCGTACTGCTGCTTGGTTTTATGAGTCCCTGGGGAGGGATGCATAGTTAACGTAACACTTCAAACATAATTATTGATTGCATGCATGGACTGTGGCGGCGGGGCTGCATCAGCACACCGAGGGAGGGAGGGAGGGGAGGGGAGGCGGTACAGAAAGTGTTTATGTGTCTCTCTCTGTGTGTGCGTTGTGTTCCTCAGCGAGCAGAGTGCATCCTAAGGGACGGAGCCCTTCGTTATCAGCTGCACCACGTCTAAAAAAAAATAGAGAGAGAAAAATCACGCATCTTTTCTTATTTTTACAAACAAAGTGGCGAACATATCCAACACATTTGCCCTTTCCTTTCCCCTTTCTCCTTTTCCCTTTCTCTCCTCTCCTCTCCTCTCCTCCCCTTTGCCTCTCCTCCCCTCCCGTCACATTTCCCTCCCTCCCTCCCTCTCTTCCACAATTTTTGCTCCGTGAACTTGAGAACATTCAAATGAAGATAAATAGATAAGCCTACCAAAGGCTATGTACAGTTTTAGTTGGACAAACCGCCTTAGCAAAATCATGTGGTGCTCTTGACGTTTCCTGAGCTTGGTGGTTTGCTTGCAGGCACTTCAGGACCCAACTTGGTAAAGTTATCAGCATGAACCCCTCCCACGCCTTCGCCCTGATGATGTTACCTAGTCGGGTCATGAAACGTCTGGAAGCAAGCCACCCAGCTCAGAGCGCACCAAGGACTCTGCTGTCCTACCCTGAGCTATAGATAATCTGTTGGGACCGTAATATATCACGTAATAAACAAGGAAATCTTAGCATCTGGTTGTCTTGCCTTTCTTTCCCGCAAGGCTCAAGGCAACTGTTTTATACCTTCCGTTTCCTGTGCTGTGTCAGTTCATCTCTTGGGGGGGGGGGTCTCCTTCTGTTGCAGGGACAATGCGCCCCGTGCGGAGAAATTTTTACGATCCTTCTTCTGCTCCTGGCAAAGGGGTGGTGTGGGAGTGGGAGAACGACAACAACTCCTGGACCCCTTACGACATGGACATCTGCATCACCATCCAGAACGCCTACGAGAAGCAGCATCCGTGGCTCGACCTGTCCACCTTGGGCTTCTGCTACCTGATCTACTTCAACAGCATGTCGCAGGTGAACCGTCAGACCCAGAGAAAACGCCGCCTCCGCCGGCGCATGGACTTAGCTTACCCGCTCATCATGGGCTCCATCCCTAAGTCTCAGTCCTGGCCGGTAGGGACGAATTCCGGACACCCGTGTTCCTGCCAGCAGTGCCTGCTGGTCAACAGCACGCGGGCAGCGTCCAATGCCATCTTGGCCTCCCAACGCCGGAAGGTCTACTCGGGCAACAGCAACGGGACGCTGGCTGTCCGGCAGAGCAATACTTTCAACGGGACGGCCTTGTGGCCTCTGGGAGCCGTGCAAGCAGGAGGGATGGCCAAAATGGAGCCGTCCCGTTCTGCCAATGGGATGCAAGCTACCACCACCTTCTCCCGAAGCCAGAGCGCGCCCAACAATACGCAAGTGCCCGGTCAAAATAACCTGAACCGCCCTGGGACGCAGCGTGCAGCCATCCTAAGCAGCAGAGCATCCATTCCTCCGGGGTAAGTATGGGTGAGGCCTGGCGTTGCTCCAAGCATCGAGGTCAAATGGCCAGGGATGGAAATAAAGAGGGGTCCTTGGTGCTTTCTGAGCTGGGGGGGGTTTCTTGGCAGACATTTGATTGCCCAAGTAGGTAACATCATCAGTGATAGAAGGCAGTGGGGCTTGTGGGGTGGAGGAGGAGGAGGAGGAGGAGGAGGAAGAGGAAGAAGAGGTGGTGTGGGGTCCTTGGTGCTCTCTGAGCTTGGCTGGTTTTTCTTGCAGACGTTTCATTGCCCAACTAGGTAACATCATCAGTGCTAGAAGGGAAAGGGTTTGTGGGGGGAGGAGGAGGAATATGGGGTCATAAGCCAAGGACTCACCTGTAAAAGGCAAAAGAGGGAACATTTTTTTCTGTTGCTGAAGTAACTTAAACCATGTCTCTTTTGCAGTTATGGCCCAAATCAGTATTGATTTAACTGTTGTTGTTGTTGTTGTTGTTGTTGTTGTTTTGCCTTCAGCAATAAGTTAGTTTCAGTGTCTTCCTAAGCCACTTCATTCAAAGTCTGCTTGAAATCTTGCATGATCCTTGTGCTTCTGTTTTCCTTTGGCAAGGAGTTAGTTTTCATTCTGTTCTGCCTCATTTTGTTTAAAAAGTCTGCTTGAAACTTTGCGTACTTTTCCCGCTTTTTCCCAGAGTTATATTTTGGCAAGTTGTTTTTTTTTATCCTGTTATAGTGCATTGCATTTTTGCACTTCAAATGTATGCAGTTTTGACCAGGTTCTTTATTTTACACACACACACACACACACACACACACATTTTGGAAGGCATAATTTTAATGCTGCAAATTGCATCATCAAATTTGGGGGGTGGAAGGGTGGGAAATGCCCATTTGGGTACATACCTAGCTGCTTTCAGGTCCGGGTTTGGCAAACCACAAAATAGGCAAATTTAAAAAAAAACCCCAAAAAGAGGTAGTCTTGGGCTACAATGAATGCAGCTCCTAGTAATTTGTGTTTTGTGTATATTTCCTGTGCCGTTGGTAGGTAAGATTTCCCACCCTTCTGCATTATTGATTGCAGATCGCCTTTTCAAAAATCTTGTTTTGTAAATACTACCCTGGAACTCTCCCAGAGTCTCTCTCTAGAGTCAGACACTATCCCCAAACAAATTAATTTTAAAAATAAATAATATAGCGCCCAACTCTTATTTCTTTTTTTCGAATTTAAATCTCTTTTGGGCTCCCCCAAATGCTGCTAACAACCTAGATTGTTAGCGGCAAGCAGCAAGCACAGAAGAGTTTATTTCTTTTTTTAGTTCAAATAAAAGTGCCCTACTTAAGCATCCGTGTTTAATCACATAGAAAAGCTACCCAGAGTTCACTCAGAGGAGTTAAAACAATCAGCCGTAGATACTAAGAGACTATTGTTCCTGTAATTACTGAAATACCAATATGCTCCTTAGCATGTTTTAATACCCTACTGAAAATCTGCCTTTTCATGACGTTCTTTTTTTAAAAAACCCCCAATGTTATGGCTTTCTCATTAGGAATGTTTTACATATGGGGAATATTATGATCTGCATTATTACTATTGCTACATGACTATTGTTAGCAGTATTACTATTAATAATAGTTTTAATAGTATGAATAATAATGGTAATTGCATTATCATTTCAGCCTGTCTCTGACTAAAGGTGGCTTGATGTTGTTAATAATTTAATTTATTTTTCAATTAAATATTTAATTGTTTATTTAAACATTTAACTCTTCGGCTATTAAAAATGCAATTTAATCTAATAATTAAAGTGATGGTGATGATAATCGTCTTAATAGGTGATTAAACCTCGCATGGTTTGTCCCTGGTTCCAGATCCATAGACTGGTGGAGTAGCAGACTTTAGAATGTCGCCAGCTGTTCCGATAATAAGAAAAATAATAGTAGCGGTAACGATTACTGTGGGAAGAATCCAGAGAAAGAAATATTTTGGGGAATATTAAAAAGGCAGAATATATTTTCCCAAAGGAATAACGGAGAAGATCTTTAAAAAAAAGTCAGAAACTAGCCCCAGCCCCTCCACCCAGCCAGAAAACTCAGCAGAAACCAGCTTTTAGAAATGCAGATGTGATAATCCATTCAGGAAGGTTAGATCCAGGAAGCTAGAAGCTGATGAGATTAGGAAGACAAAGACCCCTAAAATCTACAAACCCCACTCAAACTCTGAAAGACATGACCTTTGGGGACATAATAGGATTAACCCACCAGTGCCAAAAGGGCAGACTCAGACTCAGGTCAACGTACATGACACAGGAAATACAAAGTCTCAAACAGGAACAGGAAACCACCTCAAGAGCCCCAGAAGGTATAAAACCTCATCACTCCCAGCTCCGTGTGGTCAGTTTTTCCCAGAGCCATCTTTCTGTCTGGCTCTGCTCTTCAATAAACACCAACCTTCTTTCTAAAGCAGTCTCCATTTTATTTATTCCCGGCTTGGACTGGACCCTGATGAAGATTTTTCTTTCAACAATACCAATGGCAATAACAACCCCTAGTAACAAAATAGGGAGCAACAGCAATCATAGCATCTTTGCGTTTCGGAAGTAGACTCAATCACTCATTTTTTTCCTTATGGATTTATGAGCTCTGTCTGAAGTTCATAATAAACAGCACAACATCTAAGCCAGATCTCTGTTCCTCTGCGCACCAAGGAACCAAGAATTTCCAAGAGTCCTTTTTTCTCTTTTTATGATAGAAATAAGGCAGGGGCCTGCGCAGATTGCCCCAGCCTTCTGCTTAGAAAATTATTTATTTGTTTCAAGCCTTATAACTCACATCACAGACGTAAAGCTCCCTAAACAGTGGTTCAAGGCAAGAAAATATCTTCAACCTGGCCCTTATTCAAAGCAAGCCTAAAACATTAAAAGGAAAATAAAATGGGAAGAGAAAGAGGGGAAAAAATGGCATAAAAATAGGACATACTGCTAAAATAAAACAAAGCAAACACAGGTACTTGTTCCTAGTTACGCCTTATAGTGTATTCTCTCATAGAATTAGTGATTTACAAAAGGTGGACTTTTTTTTTCAAGTTGGCATACCAGAAATGGCTATTTATATTTATTCATTAGTAAAAATGAAAGTGGAGACGGTTTAGGGCAAGTTCCGTTTATTATACCCAGAAAAGGCCAAACTGCCTTTTAAGCATTGTTCTCTCGCTACACTTCGCACGGGCTTCTTTTTTTCTTGGCTGCTGTGATTGTGAACGTTACACAACAGATATTCCAGCTTCCAAGATCTGCTATGTCGACAGCTAGGTACGTAAGATGAGCCAATGGGCAACTGCTCTCTGAGATTAACTGCCGCCCCCCCCATGGGTGTCAGAGTCAGCAAAAAGGACTCAGAGAGGAAAAATGTGTGTGTGTGTGAGAGTGTGAGTTTGTGTGAGAGTGCCAGCAGGTTAGCGTGCTGGAAGAGTGCAGTAAATCATTTTTAGATTTTGAATTCTGCATTTTTTAGGAGATTTTGAATGTGTGGCGCTAGCCCTCCTGCAAGTTATGTTGGAAGGTCAGGCCAGGAGCAGCATACTACAGCTAGTTGCTGATCTGCTCTCCTGGTGAGCAGGTGAAAAGTCAAGTATTTTGGCCCGAAAATGATGCCAAAGAAGGAAAATTGGCTCACGGGTAACCTAATTGGTTTGAAATGAGAAAAGAGGTAACTGATGGTGTTTTTGGAGAGAGCTGGCTTAAATTGGTCCTTTCGTCATTAAATGATGCAAGTGCTAAGTGATTTTATCCTTTTTGCCCTGTCTGTTAAGCAAATCACTCAGTTGTTAAGTGAATCCAGCTTGATCCCTATTGGTTTTCCTTATTGATTGCCCCCTGAGAAGCCTGCAAATGACACTCATGAGATCCTGGGATGCGTCGTAAAGACAGGCCAGTTTGCTAAGCATCCAAATTTTGATCATGTTCCCCGGGATGTTGCAACTACAGTAATAAAGGAGAGGGCTGGTTCTAAGTCACTACGCCAGATTAGCATAACAGTTAAACTGTTGGCATTTGTAGCAGGAAGACTTTGAGACTTTGACTCAATCCCTTCTCTCAATCCATCTCCAGAGTTGTCATTGTGAGAATAAAAACTAGGAAAACACACACACACACGCACATACCCCTACACCCACACAGTGGGAGAGTTTTTCTTTGAGAAAAGAATATATATATAGATAGATAGATACACATGCAAATAACTCGTTGTAGTTGTCAAAACCAGTCTCATTGCAGTGAAAGCAACGTGGTTATTTTTAGCGGCTCTGCTTGTAGGACCATCTGGACGGTTAAGAAAATTTTGTGGGGGGTGGTTACGTTTCTGCAGCCCCTCCAACAAAGAGGACCTGAGTTGCAGCGAAATGTGGTCGGCCATCTGGTTGCGCTAGAGAGGAATCGGTGGGGGTTAATCCTGCCTGTGACCAAGGAACAGTTTACTGATGAACGTTCGACATAGTCAACGTTGTCTTTATTTGCTTATGATCCTTGGGGACGTCTGTGTCAGAGAAGACCAACCAAGACGATTAGGGGACTGGAGGTTAAAACATATAAAGAACAGAGGGGGGGGGGGAGGAGACAACCAGCTGGATCAGAACTTTCAAATTAAAGAATATTTTACAAAGAATCCCCAGGAATTAAAATGGTATTCTGGGACACTGATGATATTACCTAGCTTAGCCTAACATCTGCAGGAAAACAACCAAATTCTGAGAACACGAAAAACCCAACATACTCAACCTTAAGTATGTACTGTATATTCTTTACTATGAGAAAGAAATTTGTTTGTTTGAAAGTCAGGTGGACTAAAGTGCTTGGCAGGCTGCAAGGGAAGTTTCGAAGCATAAAACAATAGCCTTTTGGGATGTTCCAAAAACATGTGTGCTCCTTCAAGGGATTACTGTTCAAACTTCCTCCATCTTTCTCTTCTAGGGTTCCTGCTCTCCCAGTGAAGAATCTGAATGGAACTGGTCCAGTCCACCCTGCCTTGGCAGGTAAGAGTAATAAATGAGTTGAGCTGCAGCTCATGAAAGCTGATGCCTTTTTAGTAAAATATGCTAGTCAGAAAAAGTGCTTCCTTCTCATTTTTTATTAAGGAACATGAAAACCTTGATTTAACAGCCTGGATGTCATGCCTGTTAAATCCAAAGGTCTGTTAAATCCAAAGGTCTGTTAAATTCAAAAGTCTGTTAAATCCAAAGGTCTGTTAAATCAGAACATATGGAATTAGTTTTGTTTGAATCACTTGCTTTCTCTATTCCAGGAATGACCGGCATCTTGATGTGTGCAGCAGGTTTGCCCGTCTGTCTGACGCGAGCTCCGAAACCCATCTTGCACCCCCCGCCTGTCAACAAGAGCGACATGAAGGCAGTGCCGGGCATTACTGGCATTTGCCGTAAAACCAAGAAGAAACATTTGAAGAAGAGTAAGCTGTCTTCCTCCTCAGTTTCTGAGGGGTTAGAATGTGGGGGGGTCGGACGCTGGACGCTGGCTTTTGGACCCTTTTAGAGCTGGCAGCCATTTTGCATCCCACTAAAGAGGGATGCTATATCAAGTACCCTGAGCATTGTGGGAAATTCTGAAAGGCCATAGAAAGTCAACTGTTTGGCTCTGGGTAGGGTCAGAGGCCTGGAAAAAAACTGGAAAAATTTGGAAAAAACAGTTTTTTTTTTTCCAAATGGCTTTTGGAAAGAAAAAAAAAGGGTGGGGGAACCAGAAAAAAAACTTGTTTTTTCCCATTTTTCCCAAGTTTTTTTTTTCCAGGCCTTCCCATCTCTAAGTCAGACTTTGCATTACTTTGATTGAAATTGACTGGTGCAGGTGGGAACAAAGAGGTATAAAATGGCTTTCATGAGGACTAGAGCAGTAGACTAACAGCAGCAGTCACAGTGTCTAAAAAGACCATTTTCGTTGTCTCTGTGAGTGTGGGTGTATTCGTGCCTTTGAGTCAGCCCTTTCTCTTCTCTCCAGGCAGAAACCCCGAGAATGTGGTGCGACGTTATATCCAGAAAGTAAAGAACCCCCCTGATGAGGTGAGTTACCCCACTTTCTGACCCACCAGTGGGGCAAAAAGTATACAATATCCAGGCATGAGTAGATTATTCCCCCCCCCCTCAATCTATTATTTCCTGATTATGAGAACAATCAATCAGTGGAACGGCTTGGCTTCAGAAGTTGTGGGTGCTCCATCACTGGAAGTTTTCAAGAAGAGATTTGTCCAGAATGATACAGGGTCTCCTACTTGAGCAGAGGGTTGGACTAGAAGACCTCCAAGGTCCCTTCCAACTCTTATTCTATGTTCTTTGCAAGGCTGTTGTGGAGTAAATGGGGAGAGATCCTGGAGTCTCAAGGTGCTTAAAAGAAGAGGAGGTAGAGATGAAACGAGGATTAAAAATAGAAGCAAATGACTTGGAGCAAAGAGCTGCTAGACCAGTGGTTCTCAACCTGTGGGTCGGGACCCCATTTGGGGTCGATTGACCATTTCACGGGGGTCGCCAAGCAAGGCTGTCCACCATTTTTTTTGTCTGTCATTTTTTCCTCCTTTTCCGGTGGGTGCCTTACCTCCCTTAGGCTGGGCCAGCTGGTGGTCGGCCTGCTCCGTCTCTGCAGCTTGCCAGCTACGCCTTGGCCGGCGCAGGGGGCGGAACCACGCATGCGCAGCGCTCCCAGGCAGGGAAAGTCCTCGACTTACGACTGGTTGGGTAGTCCTCGACTTACGACCGGTTTAGTCCTCGACTTACGACCGGTTTAGTCCTCGACTTACGACCGGTTGGGGTCACGGCATTAAAAAGGTTGAGAACCACTGTGCTAGACGCAAGGTCCCGGGTGTGTAATTTTCAGCAACAGGAAAGTGCTTACATTTGCACGAAGGTGGTGCAATTATTATCATGAAATGGTTTGTGGTACATTTTAGGATTCTGAGTCACCAAAAGGCACACGTAAACATGTGTTGCCAACTACAGAGGTTGCGCGAGCATTTTGAAATGATAAAAGTCCAGCGGTTAAGAGGCAGGATACAAATAAGTAAATAAAAAACAATCTTTCCCACCGGGAAGCTGGCTTGGATCTACATGTCGTCGCTCCTTCCGGTTCATCCTTGGCACAAACACTCCCAGCAACAGTCTAGATTGAACTAGCACCTGAGGGCAGGATAAGAAACAAGGGTTGGAAACTGATGAAAGAGAGAAGCAACCTGGAATTAAGGAGAAAGTTCCTAACAGTGAGGAAATTAACCAGTGGAACAGCTGGCCTCCAGAAATTGTGGATGCTCCATCACTGGAGATTTTTAAGAAGAGGCTAGACAGTCACTTGTCTAAGATGGTATAGGTTCTCCTGCTTGAGCAGGGGGCTGGACTAGAAGACCTCCAAGGTCCCTTCCAGCTCTATTCTATTCTATTCTATTCTATTCTATTCTATTCTATTCTATTCTATTCTATTCTGCTCTAATTCTATTCTATTCTACTCTACTCTATATTGTATTCTATTAATTCTAATTCTATTCTATTCTGCTAATTCTATTCTGCTCTACTCTACTCTATTCTACTATTCTATTCTATTCTATTCTATTCTATTCTATTATCAATTCTAATTCTATTCTATTCTGCTAATTCTACTCTACTCTACTCTACTCTACTCTACTCTACTCTACTCTACTCTACTCTATTCTACTCTATTCTATTCTATTCTATTCTATTCTATTCTATTCTATTCTAGATTAGAACTAGAGATAGAGCTAGATTGCAAGACCTCCAAGGTCCCTTCCAACCGTATTATTCTACATTTTTTTCCTAATTTATTCCTAGTGCTTTACAGCTCCCTGGAATCCAGCCTTCCCCCCTTGTTAGTTATTGCTGACACCCCCTATTTGTTTCCACCCCCAACAGGACTGTACCATCTGCATGGAGAGATTGGTGTCCTCCTCGGGTTACGAGGGCATCCTCCGGCACAAGGGTGCCAAGCCGGAACTGGTAGGAAAGCTGGGGAAATGCGGGCACATGTACCACCTCCTTTGTCTCGTTGCCATGTACAACAACGGCAATAAGGTGAGCCCTGATTCAAATGGGTGGCTGGGGGGGGGGGAAGGAATCTGGGGAACATTATTGGTTTGAGTGCAGAGAGTCTCAACCCCCACCCCCACCCCGGGATTGAAAGAATAAAAAAGAAATAGAAATAATGAAGAAATATATGGAGTCGCCCCAAACAGTGAGATGACCAGTATATAAATTAGATAGAGAGACAGAGAGATAGAGAGATAGATGATAGAATGATAGAGATAGAAGATAATAGATAGATATAAACAAATAGATATAAACAAATAATGATAGACAGATACCGTAGATAGATATAATGATAGAGAGGGCATATAGATAGATAGATAGATAGATAGATAGATAGATAGATAGATAGATAGATAGATAGATAGATAGATAGATAGATAGATAGATAGATAGATAGATAGATAGATAGATAGATAGATAGATAGATAGATATGATAAACTTAGCCATTTATCATCTTGTATTAAAATACAACGCAGGAGCTCTTATCTCTAAACAAATCCTTATCAGCTCTTCTCCTTCAGTCCTGATCAGCAAAAATCCATCTGTTTCCTTTTTCATTACCACATTCTTATTTTTTTCCCTTCCTTTTCGATTGTTCCTTTCCCTTTTTTCTTCTTTGAAGTTTGTCTTCAAAGGCTTTATCTTTTTCATTGTAATTTTGAATGAAATGGCTATGGGGGAAAAAAAAGCCTTGAGCGTTGGGCAGCCCGTCGATTTAAATAAGTAAATAAAATCATCAACCAGAGGGTTACGTTGGCATGTCACGACCCCTGGACGGTTGACCTGTACCCCCTCCTCATCCCCTCGCTTCCTTCCGCCCCTCAGGATGGCAGTCTCCAGTGCCCCACTTGCAAGGCTATCTACGGGGAGAAGACGGGGACTCAGCCGCCTGGAAAAATGGAGTTCCACGTCATCCCCCACTCTCTTCCTGGCTATCCGAATTGCAAAACGATCCGCATTCTGTACAACATTCCTGCGGGGATCCAGGTGAGAAAGAGAACGCTCAACATTTCTGTTGCTAAGCAAGACATTTATTAAGTGAGTTTTGCCCCATTTTACGACCTTTTTTCTTGCCACAAAAGGGGATCACGTGACCCCTGGGACGCTGCAACCATCATAAATACCAAGTTGCCAAGTGTCCGAATTTTGATCACCTGTCTGTAGGGATGCTGCAGTGGGAATAAGTGTGAAAAAATGGTCATAAGTGGCTTTTTTCAGTGCTGTTGTAACTTCAAACGTTCACTAAACGAACTGCCTGTAATTTTGAAGGGATGTTGACCTCGCTATAACTTTAACCAGTTGTAAGTCGAGAACTACTACCAGTTCCTTCCATAACACATCTTGTGGACTAGATGCATGGTTTTTTGCCTCTCCCAACTCTCTTTCTTTTTTCTTTTCTTTTTGCTTAAGCAGGGCATAGAGCATCCAAACCCTGGGAAAAAGTTCACCGCACGAGGATTTCCACGTCATTGTTACCTTCCGGACAACGAGAAAGGCAGAAAGGTAAACCTGGACCTTTGATTTTTAGCGGACTTCAACTGGAACGTATTTAAGCAGTCGCCGTTCCTTGCCCTTTGTGATATCATCGCTTCCATTTTGTATTGATGGTGTTTGTGCACATGCCCTGGGCCTTCACATTCTCTTCCTCATGTTGCTGTCAGTTGGCACCGCCACATCTATCAGCATCACTGTCTTCTGGTGCTTGTTTACTACCACGATGTTCATTGGGTAGTACCTGTGCGACTTCCAGACCGATAGGCAGGTGGTAGCCAATCAACCAGACATCGTAATAACACACAAGGATCGGAAGACAGTGGTGGTCCAGTTAGACAGCTAGATGGTAGCCAATCAACCAGACATCGTAATAACACACAAGGATCGGAAGACAGTGGTGGTCCAGTTAGACAGCTAGATGGTAGCCAATCAACCAGACATCGTAGTAACACACAAGGACTGGAAGACAGAGGTGGTAGTAGTTGCAGAAGTGCCAAGTGAGAGCAAGATCAGGAAGAAGGAGTATGAGAAGCTGGAGAAGTAGCAGGGCCTGAAGGAGGAACTGCAGAGGGTGTGGAAAGTCAAGTTCAAAGAGGTCACTGTGGTGGTAGGAATACTCGGGGCTGTGACTCCTAAGTTGAGGGGGGGACTCCAACCAATCCCAGGAATGACAGCAGAGCACTTTGTCGAAAAAAGTGCCGTGCTAGGAACAGCTAAGATCCTGCACAGAACCCTCAAAATCCCAGTCCACTGGTAGAAGACCCGAAATTGAGAAAAACAAGACCACCCACAAGAGTGAGAAAGGATTTTTTTTTTAATATATCTATATCTATCTTACCTTCTTCTCACCCAGATTTTGAAACTCCTCATTGTGGCCTGGGAACGCCGACTCATCTTCACCATCGGGACCTCGAACACGACGGGAGAATCGGACACTGTGGTATGGAACGAGATTCACCACAAGACCGAATTTGGCTCCAACCTCACTGGGCACGGCTATCCTGACCCGAACTACCTGGACAATGTCCTGGCTGAACTGACGGCCCAGGGGGTCTTGGAAGCCAACCTGAAGGACTGAGAAGGTGTTTTTTGGCCTCTGTCCACCCAACGTTCCTCCTGCCTCCATTTCGCCACGTGCAACGCAAGCACTGCCTGTCTTCTCCTCCCTCTGTCCATCTGTGTCTGTGTTTGCTGATTGGCGTGGCAGCCATGTTTGGGACGGTGCCTTCCACCTTCCCAAGTTGCTTTGACTAGCTTGAACTTCAAACCATGGAGGACACAGGGTGCTCTCCTCCACCCCTGGCAGGATTCGCAACATGATTTCGGGGTTCCCTCCCTGGACAAAAACAATCCGAAGCTTTGTGAGTGAGCAGCTGATGCAAGCCTTTTGCTCTTCTCTTCTTTTTTCTACCTGTGCGTGTAAATTCTTGGCCATTCCCATGGATTCAAGGCTCACTACTCCGAACGCTCCATCTCCAGCTACTCCAATCTCACACCCAGGTTGTTCTGCCTCCTTTTGTCTCTGTTCCTCGCTTGCCTGTGGGGCTCTGCCCAGAGAAGCAGGAAAAATATCCCACTTGGGCACCTAAGGAAGGCTGACATGGTGGCTTCGCAGCAGGCAGAATGTGGTCAACCAGCTTTGTCATCTGCCTTCCATGCAAATAAAAAAGGGGGCCATCCCCATTTCTTTGGCTCTGTTCTCCCCCCCACCTCCAGCCTTCATTGATGAAATGCAAAGTGTATCCCCTAGTTGGTGATGTTTCTCTTAAAAAAATATATACTGCAAGATGGAGGAGGTTTTTGTAATTGGAGCCACAGCTGGTGGTGAAGACTGGAAAGCTCACAAGATCTCCTCCTTCCACCGATCCCTTTTGTTAGCTGTTTATTTAACAAACACAAAGTATGTGTTGCAGGATAAACTGGATGCTTGGCCCTTTATACTCCACCCACAATACTTGGACAGACAGGCCTTTCTGACCGTCGGTCTTACATCGTCTTCTTCTCATCTCCCCAAGCACCAAAATACATAGTTTTGGACCTGTGTTCTGGACCATTTTGGTGGTGATGGAAGAGGGCTGATTCCTTTCTAATACTGAATATTCTTGCTTTGACACCTGCGGCATCAAATGCCTGCATCGATTTCCCTGTTCTGCTTTTTTTGGTCCATCGTCGACAATGGAGATGTTCCATATTCTGAAGCCTCGGAGGACCATTGTCGTCCTGAGTGGTTTTTAGAGTCTTGAAAGCCAAGTATCAATCCATTGGGAAGTCTCGGCAATTGTGTGGGGGCAGTTGCTCCCATTGCTTCTGCCATTCCTGAAAAGGCCCAGGCGTCAGCCAATAAGGTGCCACCTTCTGTCGCCCCTTGCTTGACGTCCGTTTGACAGTTTGCGTGCCGTTTGAGGTCCTCCTCCGTTGAAAGATGAAAAGAAAGCGATGCCAGTTTCTGGTTTCTTGCAAAGCGTACACCAGCCTGGATCAGTTCTGGAGATCTCTCTTCTGGCGAATTTTCTATCCTCCACAATCTTATGTAGCATGTTCAATTCTCCAGATGTGAGGGCAAGACTGGGACACGTTGCCAAAGAGGACGGAAATAACTTAAAAGGAGAAAATGTAACTTCTATACACCGCTTTGGTCCATATCAAGCAGATGCAATAACAACAACAACAACAATAAAAATGGGATGAAAACAGAGCGAAACGTTATTGGCTGTGGTGTCACCAGTGCAGGATTGGCCCACAAACATCATTAGTGGGAGGTTCCAGAGAACCCCAAAGTCTTGAGATTTTATTATTTTGAAATAGGAATCTCCACTTGGTCACCCAAAGCAGGAACAAGCAGATTAGGAACTTACCGGACGGGAAGACTTAAGAGTTGTTATTTCTCCAGCCTAAAATTATGGGATTACAAATTGGGGAAGGTTGCACCAATTCTTGCAGCCAGGTGGCTTAGAACAGGGGTCCACAACCCCCGGTCCATGGACCGATGCCAGAAGCCGGTCCGCGCAAACAAGCGAAGTCCGATCCGCCAGATCCAGTCAGCACGTGAAACCACGCACCCTCCGGTCCGCGAGAAAACCTCTCTCCATAGAACCGGTCCCTGGTGCCCGAAAGGTTGGGGAGGGGACTGGCCTAGAAGCAAAGCTGACATTTCTTCAATGGCTCTGTCTGGTTCCAATCACTTTGAGCCTGCCCAAAGCAGAATCCAAGCCAGACTTCAATTCCCAGAATTCTCCATCTGGCTGAAGAATTCTGGGAGTTGAAATCCCTCCATCTTCAAGTGACCAGGACTGAGAATCACTGCTCTACAGGCTCCTTTCTCATTAAGAGAAGTGACCAGCAGTCCTTTTTCTCTCTCTCTCTCTCTCTCTCTGACAATATTGGTCTTCTTCGCAGTTGGGATTTAATTCAAGTAATCGGGCACATTCCTCTTCCAAAACCTTCCAAATCATTTATAGGCAGTCACAATTCTCACGGGTGATTAGTTTCCTGATTAATAATAATAATAATAATAATAATAATAATAATAATAATAATAATAATAATAATAATAATAATAATAATAATAATAATAATAATAATAATAATAATAAAGTTGGAAGGGACCTTGGAGGTCATCGAGTCCAACCCCTGCTCAGGCAGGAGACCCTACACCATTTCGGACAAATGGCTGTCCAGTCTCTTCTTAAAAACTTCCAGTGTTGGAGCATTCACCGCTTCTGGAGGCAGGTTGTTCCAGTGGTTAATTGTTCTCACTGTCAGGAAGTTTCTCCTTAGTTCCAGGTTGCTTCTCTCTTTGCTTAGTTTCCACCCGTTGCTTCTTGTCCTGCCTTCAGGCGCTTTGGAGGATAGCTTGACTCCCTCTTCTTTGAAGAGTTTCACAAGGACTGTGTGAAAGGGGGCTGGGAGAGGGGGGAAGCATCAAGGAATAGTGTTTCACATGGACAGGAGCATCTCCAGGAAAAGGTGATGAACCAATTAGAATTGTCCCAAACAGAAATAACTGCCTGCATGGCCAACTCATTGCAGGACAATTCAATTTCATGATTTTAAATGATTTAAACATTATTTTGGAGACTAGGTTGACCTCCCCACTTCTTTGTGGCAGCCCTTCAAATATTGCCACGCGGCTACCAGGTCACCCCTAGTCCTCCTTTTCACTCTGAATTGGATTTTTAAATCGAAACTATTGGCTGGGCATCACCAACACAGGAAGCAGCCTTAGGCTAATTCAGAATCCTGGTTTCTCTAGCTTGCTCTATCTGGCCATGATTGATGATCTGGATTTTAAAATTGGAGCTCTTTTCTAACCTCATTTGGAGGCGACAGGAACATCCAATTTCAGTGGCTTCCCAGGATGCACCTCGTTCCTTTTTTTATTTTTGCAATGAAAAATAAATTAAATCTTCATAACCTTTGGAGAGAAGGATAAAGGGCAAGGAAAATGGACATGGATAATTCAAGTCTCGGAAGTAAAGGTCATGCTGGAGACTGCAGCCCTGCTTTGCCAGAAGTTATTTTCTGTTTTGTTTAAATTAAAAACCATCTGTTTAAGAGAGACGGGATGCAATGTCCACCGACAGATGACTCTGCCTTTGGCACTCTGAGCCTAACTCGGTGGCATGTTTCCTTTTAGTCGCTGAACTGTTTTGCTAGAGAAAGAAGGAGAGAGAATAACAGGGGTGGCTAAGGGTAACTCTTGACATCCCTCATGCAGGGTGTGGTTAAAAAAATCATGAAGAAAGTAAGAAAAAAAGGGAGGGAGAGGGAGGGAGGGAGGAAGGAAGGAAGGAAGGAAGATAACAGTGGGATAGGGAGGGAGGGAGGAGGAGAGAGAAAGGATGGAAGAAGGGATGGATGGAGGAAGAAAAAGAAAAGAGAAAGGAGAGGGGGAGGAGAGAAGAAAGAAAAAAGGAAGGAAGGGAGGAAAGGAAAGGAAAAGGAGAGAGAGAGAAAGGCCTCTGAACGGACAGCTTTTTCTGGTCATCAATGGCTCCACTGAACTTGAGAGAAATAAAACCCACTCAGGTCTATCTACTGGAGATGATTTGCAGATAATTATAGACCAGGATGAATTGCACAATAGAAACCCATGTGTGAGCGAGTTTTCAGAGGAAAGACTGATGCACAGGGGCAGTCCCCCCCCCTCTCTCTCTCTTGGCAGACATGGAGAACCTTCACAGCTGGAGACCTGGGGAATTGTGGGACTTGAAGTCCACAATTCTTAAAGTTGCAAGTTTGGGGAACCCTGATCTAGACAAAAAGAGACAGCCAACAATTTCCTCATTTCGTATTACTTTATTCTCTGTTTTTCAAAATTCGCTTACCATGGCCCGCATTTTATAGCTCAGAGGAACAGCTCAGAGAGTTATAGAGGGAAGGAGTTTATTCAGCACCTCTGAAAATGTTAGGCAGCCATCAGTCTCTTCTCTTGAGACTGGAGTAGGACTTCCCCATGTTTTCAAGCTTATCGTTATTGTGATAAAGACCAGAAACTTGATCAAACAGAGATAACGGTGCCAAGACCTACAGTTCTGGGCTACAGGAGACTTGTGGGCCAGAGGAACTAACTTCCATCCATCTCTGTGATAAGCAGAACCTTGACACACACAGACCCGTTCTTCTAGATTCATGTAGAACACTGGTTGAGTACAGCTAGGAGGATAGAAAGGTGTTGTAATTTCTGCCACGTTCTCCTTCCAAGGGAACATTGTTCAACAAGAGCATAATCTGCAGTGTAGGCAATTGCTTTCTTCTCCAGACAGATGTAAAAACGACGTCATCAATACAACACAGACAAAAACAATCTGGTTCCCAATGGGAGATGCCATCTAGGAAGGTGGTAGAGCACCAGCCCCTGGTTTCTCTCCATCTTCTTGATGTTCAAAAGCCTTGTGGGCCTGTTCCAGACCTTGGATGACTTCTAGAAGATGGGCGGCAGCTGTCAGCCTTCGCTGATTTTTGTCTGAAGCTGGGTGTGGAGTAGAGAAGAGGAGGAGAGAGAGAAAACAATGGGAGATCAACCTTGAGTTAGCAACGCCAGATATTTCAGCAGTGCTTTTTCTAGAGCTCCGCCACCTTGCTCTGCTTGGCCAGAGAAATCTAATGGGGGTCCCCCTAAACCAAAAATCAGGTAAGACAAGTCGGGATCCCAAAAGTCACTAGGGAAAATGGGCTTCTGTGCATGGCTGAACTCCTTCTGAATAACCCAACAATCTGGATGATTCTGTTTGATTGAAGTTCACCTAGAGACAGAATCTTGCCGGGCTAAAGCTATAGATACACTCTGTGGACTGTCTTTTTCCTCTTCCCGCCTACCCGAGATTCCAAGTTCTTTGCCCTTTGGGAGGCAGCCCCTTCCTTCTGGGACTCCAGGCTACATTCCACCACATTCAGTAGATCTCTCTAATTCTCAATTTTGCCCAGTGACAATCCCTTGTAGGGGTGTGAAGTGGCCCAAGAAGCCCACAGTTCCTCAGAGATTTGAGTTTGCTCTTCAGCTCCTAAAGGATGATCAAGTCTTGTTGGACATTCAAGCCCAAATATCACATCTCCCTGGGTTGGTGTTGAACTAATTATCTAACGATACTCCGCTTCGTTCATTTGGGTTTGCTTAAAGCATCTTTTTTAACTTTCTCGCAAAGCATATTGGCCATCCAGGCAGGAGACTGACTCATTCACCCTTGATTAGGGATGCACAGTTTTGTCATGGGAATGGCAGACTTTTGATCTCAACAACAAGAACATGTTTGTAGCTCAGGGTTGAAAACGGGGGTCCTTGGTGCTCCCTGATCCTGGCTGTTTTCTTGCAGACCAAGCTAGGTAACATCATCAGTGCTAGAAGGGAGTGGGGGTTACAAGGAGGAGGAGGAGGAGGAGGAGGAGGAGGAGGAGGAGGAGGAGGAGGAGGACTGGCGCTCTTTGAGCTGGGTTGTTTTCTTGCAGATGTTTCACAACTAGGTAACATCATCAACCCTCATCCTGTGTCCATTTTCTAGGCAGCCTCTCTTTTCCACCTGTCTCCCAAGGCCTTTTGCACACACCACTCCAACAGTACACAAACCTGTTTGTGTATATTGGTGGCCCTGTGGTGTGCAAAACAGGAGGCAGATCTCCGGGCCTAGCTGAAAACACAGGAATTGTGACAAAATCAAGCTACCGAAAGGAAGTAACGGCTAGCTGAATTACGCAGCATTGATCATGCATGGAGACAAGCCACTTCGGTGGTTTATTTTTATCGCCTTGCACCCCTCGGCCTTTCTTCCGTCTCAGCTTTTAGGCAACCTCAAAGACTCAGGCCTACCTTTTTTGGCCGTGTTGCTTTGTTCCTGCGCAGCCTCTGTGTTTGAAATCTCCTGGTATTTTTCCCTACGGAGGAGCGGAAAAAGCAAGCAATTAATCACAGGGCAATCAGCCTTAAAAGCGAATTGAAAGGGGCAATTAATCACCGCCCTCATTAATTGCAAGCTTTCGGAGCACGGTCCCATGAGGACAGGACATCCCAACACCTGGAATGGCCTTTCTGTAAGCAACGCAGAGAGAGAGAAAAACCACCTTTTAAAACTGCGGTTTTAAAAATAATTTTCAGTCTATCCATCCTGAACTCGGAACGAGAAAAGCTACAAAGGATCGTTTCACCTCTATCTGCATTTTGCAGCAAATCCATACGGTGGCTCTTCCAAGGAGAAGCAGCCCATAATGAGAAAAAGAAGAAAAAAGCATGTTTTAAAGCAGGGGTGTCCAATCTTAGCCACTTCAATGTGTAACTAATTGTACATCATTAAGTAAAGCAACTGCATTCCTGCGTTGCTGGTGTGATGTTCTTATCACAGCTAAGTGAGATGAAAATAATTGGGAGAATCTGATGGGAGTGGCTGATAATTAGTTATCTGGCGAAGGAAGGTCGAATACGAACATTTTTAAGAAGTGATGGCAGGACTAAACTTTACACAATGAAAGTGTCTCTCATCTAACTGTGGCAATGCCCGGGACTTAGACTTCTGGGTGAGCAGAACCAAATGCAATCTTAGTCTTTAGGATCTGCCACTCTTCCTTTCCTCAAGCAAAAGGCTTTTATTATCATTATCAATAATAATAATAATAATAATAATAATAATAATAATAATAATAATAATAATAATAATAATAATAATAATAATAAAAAACAACCCTGGGATAATTCCTTAACTGGGGATGCCCTCTGCCGGAAACCTCTGCTAAACTTAAGACCTGATAAACGCCAAACGGAATGAAACTCGTTGCGTACTGCCTCCTGCTGGCCACGCGAAACGACAACACCATGCCCGATGTGTCAACACGGAGAACTTTCCTCCCCACCCATGGGCGTGCAGGACTTACAACTTTTCGTTTAGCGACCGTTACAATGGCACTTGAAAAAGTGACTTAGCGTTCTTCACAGTTTCTCCTTAATTCCACGGCAAAAAAAAAACAACAGTAAAATCAAGTGCAGTTTTATGAAGCCTCACTTAGCAACTGCACCACACCATGGTTAATGTTCTGCTACCTGTTGTAAGTCCAGAACTATCTGTATCTTCTTCCTTGGATGCAATTCTGCCTGCACACCGTCCCCTCCCCCCCGCCAAACAGGATGGGACCGATCCATTGTCCCGTACCAACCTGAGCTTGTCTTTATGTAACAAAAGCTGCTTGTACACCATCTGGGCTTCTGCGTCGGGATCCAGTGGGTCACTCCAGTCTCTCAGGGTCACTGCAGAATGTGTACGGCTGCAGCCCCGAACTGTAACCAAACCACAACCACAGGTGGCCCTGTAAGTTGAGGGAACAGATGGACGCATAGCCCAGAGGTGGGGAATGGAGTCCTGTGATACTACTAAATTTTTCCCCGTGTCGTGATTCTGTGGCAAAAGGATTTGCCAGTGACGTCACCGTGGTCTGGGGGAGGGCCAGTTGGGGCCTGCTTTCATGTCTCCATGAAGTTGCTCACTGAAGTGGTACCCATTTATCTACTCGCAGTCACCTGCATTTGAACTGCTGGATCAGCAGGAGCTGGATCGTGTGACGGGAACTCACACTGCCCTGTGGCAACAACGAGTCTTGAACGCGAGCCTGCTGATCGTCGGCCCAGCACGCTAACCTTGTGAGCCATCATGCTCCATACTACTAATTTACAATAGCCACTCTCCCCGGTCAGTGGGGCTGATAGATTGAGCAGCCAAAGTTTGTTATATATCAACCTCTGGAGAGATGCATATCCTCATAGCTGCCAGCTGCTCATCTGAGTTTGGACTATGGGGGAAAGGAAGTTTAGAATGAAGATCTCTCCAGGTGTATTTGGGGTCCTTGGTGCTCTCTGGGCTTGGCTGTTTTCTTACAGATGTTTCATTACCCAACTAGGTAACATCATCAGGGCCAGAAGGAAGTGGATTTTGCAGAGTGGAGGAGGAGGAGGAGGTGACGAGGAATAGGACTGTTGGGCTCTTGATGCTCTCTGAGCTTGCAGACATTTCATTACCCAAACTAGGTAACAACATCAGGACAAGCGCTGATGATGTTACCTAGTTGGGTAATGAAATGTCCGCAATAAAACAACCAGGTTCAGAGAGCACCAAGACCCCTCATTATTAGAGAACCTTCAAATCCTAGAACTTCTAGAGAAGCTTCAAATCCTAGAACTTCTAGACAACCCTTCAAATCCTAAAACCTCTATATAACCCTTCAAATTCTAGAACTTCTAGAGAACCTTCAAATCCTAGAACTTCTAGAGATTCTTTCAAGTCCTACACTTCCAGAACTTCTGGAGAATCCTTGACAGGGATCAGCCTTTCTTCCATCATGTCAGGAGCTTCCTTCCAACTCTGGGATTCTACCACGGAGAGTCTGATTACCGGCACGGTCCGTTTGCAAGCAACAGGTCCAGCGATTGCCTCTGAAGGCCCCCGGGTGGCAAAAGGGCAGCATGCATTCATTGGAGATGGTGGCTTTTCGGATCGCCGAAAGCCATTGGTTCAGCTCATTGACATTCTGCCCAAAAGGAAAAAAAATGGTGCAGGAAAAAGAGAAAGAGAAAGAGAAGGATAGCTTAACTGTTCTTGAAAAGCAAAACAGAACCAAATCTTCTTTTCATTAGAAAAATCACAGTTTCAAAAAACACTGCAGGAGAAAAAAAAACTTCACAACTTGTCTTCTCCTTAACAAGCTTCCACCTGTTGCTTCTCATCCTGCCCTCAGGTGCGTTGGAAAATAGGTTGACCCCCTCTTCTCTGTGACAGCCCCTCAAATATTGGAAGACTGCTATCTTGTCACCCCTAGTCCTTCTTTTCTCTAGACTAGACATCCCCAATTCCTGCAGCCATTCTTTGTATGTTTTAGCCTCCGGTCCCCTGATCATCTTGGTTGCTCTTCTCTGCACTCTTTCCAGAGTCTCAACACCTTATTTGAATCCCGGTAATCAAAACCGGACACAGTATTCCAGCCAAACAGGTTTTCCCAGTTCGGTGCTTCCAAAATATATTCAACAACCACACCTCCCTGAATGGCTGGGGATTTTAAGGTCTGCAATTTCCCAACGCATCCAGGGAGCACCCTGTTTCTTGCAGACGTCTCCTCACCCAGCTAGGTAATAGCATCAGTGCTAGCAGACAGGCCGAAAGAGCCTAACTCAGAACGTGTGCCAACCTTGCACTGAATGTAGATCGTAAGCAGCTGGCCCCCCGTTTCTCTCGTTGTGATCTGCATCATGTGGGGCTGTTGAAAAGCATTTTCATCCACCCGTTCCACGGCACAGATTCGTTGGACCGGAATGGACGTACGGACCTGAGCAGGAAGAAGAAACGCTAGCCCTGCGAGGTAGTCCAGACCACAAGCACACCCAGAAGTACTATGTAGTTCTAGGTTTACCGGTAAGTCTTTAACTTACAACTATTTAGTCAATGACGGTTTGAAGTTACAACAGGACTGGAAAAAGGGACTTATGTGCGGTCCTTGCAGCATTCATAGAATCTTGGATGGAATGATAGATGATGGATGGCTGGATTATAATGGACAGAGAGAGATGACAGATAGATAGATAGATAGATAGATAGATAGATAGATAGATAGATAGATAGATAGATAGATAGATAGATAGATAGATAGATAGATAGATAGATAGATAGATAGATATGGAGAGAGAGAGAGGGAGGGAGGGAGGGAGGGAGGGAGGGATGGATGGATGGATGGATGGATGGATGGATGGATGGATGGATGGATGGATGGATGGATGGATGGATGGATGGATGGTAGGCAGACAGACAGACGGACAGACAGACAGACAGACAGATGAAAGTCTGGTTCTTACTTGCCACTCTGGAGATTTGGAATAGGAAAAGCTTTCATGACTCAACCAGAAGTAACGCTTTTTGAAGGTGAAACGGGACACCAGATGGACACCTTCTGCTTTACGTTTCTGCAGGTAACCTTCTTTGATGATGGCTGATGAGTGGAAGAGGGTCCAAGGTTGTTTTTCACTTCCTTCTAGAGATAAAAAAAAAGCAAAGGAGAGAACTGGAATGCATCCATTGAGTGAAAACTTGCTAAGTAAATGTGAAGAACTTTGTTTGTCTAGAGTAATATGGACCTCTTGCTTCTGGGAGAACATCATGTAGAATATAGAATATAAAACAATAGGATTGGAAGGGACTTTAGATGTCATCTAGTCCAACCCCCTGCTCAAGCAGGAGATGCTATTCCATTCCTTCCCTCAAATATTGGAAGACAGCTATTGTATCACCCCCCAAGTTCTTGTAGGATTTAGCCTCCACTCCCCTCATCATCTTAGTTGTTCTTCTCTGCTCCCTTTCTAGAATCTCGTCATCTTTTTTATACTGTGATAACCAGAACTGGACGTGGTATTCCAAGTGTGGCCTCACCAGGGCAGTACAGCGTAATGTAGTGGCTCACCCATCTCCGTGTCCACGTCTATCAGCCCGTCGAGGAATTCTTGCACACGCCCAATGCTGGCGAGGATGAACGGATGCAGAGGCTGCATCCATTGCTCCTTGCCGTGTCCCAGCTGGAGACCAAGGTTGCCGATGCTCTGTACTGCCTGCCAGGGAGAGAGGCAAGAGGCAGAGAGCCATTGGCATGAAGATGCCAGCTGAGCTATGCCAGAACAACCCAACGAACCAAACACAAGTTAACACTCTTCTGCATGCAGTAGCCATTTAGTGACAACACCCATGGCCTGCCTTCCTTCCTTCCTTCCTTCCTTCCTTCCTTCCTTCCTTCCTTCCTTCCTTCCTTCCTTCCTTCCTTCTTTCCTTCCTCCTCCATCCCTGTCTGCCTGCCTTCCTCTTTCTCTTTCTTTCTTTCTTTCTTTCTTTCCTCCCTCCCTCCCTCCCTCCCTCCCTCCCTTCCTTCCTTCCTTCCTTCCTTCCTTCCTTCCTTCCTTCCTTCCTTCCTTCCTCCTCCCTCCCTCTCTCCCTCTCTGCCTGCCTGCCTGCCTGCCTGCCTTCCTCTTTCTTTCTTTTCTTTTCTTTCTCTCCCCTCCCTCCCTCCGCCCTGCCTAGGTGAAACACATCAGGTATACCTTGGCCAGGAGCAAGAGGGTCCGGCTGGTCTGCGTGTCCGCATGCTGGTCTCGGAGATTGAAGAGCTTCGGGGTCAGAATTGCAGGGGCAAAGAAGCGGAGGAAGAGGAAGCCACTGATGGCGATGTATTTGGCTTCCTGGAAGGAGATCAGCAAGAATGAAGAAGGTACAGATAGAGCCAGTCACCCTTATGGAAGAAGAAAAAGCTCTTTGTCCTGCAACCTTTGACTCGTCAGTGTGAAAGCACCCAAAACAACCTCAGGACCTCTGAAATGGCGAGGATTTGCACCCTTCCCCAAACCAGGTTCTTTGGATCATCAGCCAGACCTCTTTCTAGCTCTTTCACATCTTCTGTTGTCTAGAAAGCAACACCTTTCAAGAGAAGAGCTTTTGGGGTCCCCTGTTTGGGACCCCCTCGAAGGCTCACCAGAGTGTGGGGGCCTTGGTGCTCTCTGAATTTGGTGGCTTCATGACCCAACTACGGTAGGTAACATCATCAGTGCTAGAAGGGAGTGGGGGTTACAAGGAGGAGGAGGAGGAGGAGGAGGACTGTGGGGTCCTTGGAGGTCTCTGAGCTTTGCTTATTTTCTTGCAGACATTTCATTACCCAAATAGGTAACATCATCAGTGCTACAAGGGAATAGGTTATCTGTCAACAGGGCAAGCCACTGTATATAAACAGAGGGCAAATGCCCCTCCCTTCTAGCACTGATGATGTTACTTAGTTGGGTATTGAAAGGTCTGCAAGAAAACCACCAAGCTCAGAGAGCACCAAGGACCCCACAATCCTCCTCCTCCTCCTCTCCACAAACCCCACTCCCTTCTAGAACTGATAGTGTCACTCCACAGTTCAACCCTGAGTTACAAAGATTCTCTCCTATCGCTACTTACCTGACTCTCTGCTTCCTTAAACCGCTGCTCCACTCGCTTGTACAGCTGTTTGAAAGCCACTCTCATCAGAGAAGGGCAGTTCTCCGTTGAGCCCACAATGGCATCCACGATGTCTCCCAAATACCCTTTCAGCACCTCCAGGCTGCTTTCTCGGATCTGGGCCTCTGACAGGGAGCCTTTGAAGGAGATCCGCCTGAGTGGAAAAAAAAAAGTGTGGAAAAGAGAAATGTGCACTTTAAAAGGGAAGAAAAGACCCTGGCGCACCATCAAAGCAGCTCAAGTCTACAGCACAGCTGGAATCCCCTTTCTCCGAATCTCCGGTTATAATAATAATAATAAAGTTGGAAGGGACCCTGGAGGTCCTCTAGTCCAACCCTCCTCTCAGGCAAGAAACCCTATACCATTTCAGACAAATGGCTGTCCAATCTCTTCTTAAAAAGCTCCAGTGTTGGAGCATTCACCGCTTCTGGAGGCAAGTTGTTCCACTGGTTAATTGTTCTCACTGTCAGGAAGTTTCTCCTTAGTTCTAGGTTGCTTCTCTCCTTGATTAGTTTCCATCCGTTGCTTCTTGTCCTGCCCTCAGGCACTTTGGAGAGTAGCTTGACTCCCTCTTCTTTGGGGCAGCCCCTGAGATATTGGAAGACTGCTCTCATGTTCCCCCTCGTCCTTCTTTTCATTAAACTAGACACACCCAATTTCTGAGAAGAAGTCAGCAGAAGGATTTGCAACAAGGTTTAAAGAGCTTCCCTTTAGGCAGAGTAGTGGTTATTCTCTTATTTTGGTCACTGGCCAGCATAACAGCATTCAAGAATAAAATTACAGCCCTCCCTCGGGGTAAGATATTGTGGTTTAATCTGTGCACCGTAAGAATTGACTAATTAACTAACTGCGTCATAAGGTATATCTTGGGGAGGGTCCATTGTAACTTTCCAAGGTCACTAAGTGACCGGTTGTCAATCAAGGACTACCTTTCGTAGAATCCAGTACAGGTCATCCTCGACTTACAACAGTTTGTTGAGTGACTGTTCCAAATTACAACACCCCTGAAAAAAGTGACTTATGACCTGTCTTCACCCTTACGAAAATTCAGACTCACTTAACAAATGTCTCACTTAGCAACAGAAATTCCGGGCTCACTTGCGGCCATAATCTGAGAACTTCCTGCACTAGAATAACTCATCCAGAAGCGAGGGTGCTCTCCGTGGTCCTGAACGCATGTCTAAAGCAAAAGTATAATAAGACACGTAAAAAGTAGCCCCCTAAATTAAATGTCCCTCTAGAGAAAGACAAAATAAAACACTATTCTTTTGGTCTTCCATCATCAAAGTGTGATTTATTTCTCAGTTTTATGTTTGCCATTAAATTTCCCTTCTGCTGCTTATAATATTCACTTAGACTCACAATGGTTTCACCTTGGCCCTTTCTACTTTCGGTGGGCGTTCTAGACGGTCACTCGAAGATTTGAGAACCTCAAGACCCCTTCCTTCCACCTCTGGGATTCTAGGATAGGAAGCCTCCTCAGCTACTTCAGGGTCATGTGGATCTAAGAAGATGGCTTAAGCTGCCCAGACCACGATGCTCACTTCCCATGTCTTGGGATACGTCATTCCCAGCTTGTGTGCTCTGGCCTGCGTCTGCAGCGAGACGCATGGTTTTTTCAGGGGCACACCCTCTAGCGGCACAACTCTACTCCGACGCTATCTTGATGCAGTGCCATGTTCTTCCCAACAGCATCCCGGAGACAGGGTTGCCTAGCAACCCGAACGAACAGCATCTCTCCCAAGAACAGTAAGCTATCTTTGGAGGATCTGAAAATCTCGTAGCGAGCTGGGCTGCCCGTTCTCAGCCCCTCCATCACGTTGGCGCTCTCCTCTCAACGCAACGCTCGGTGCCATCATCACTCACCTCAATCAAGCATGGGTTCTCACACACCACAAACAACAACGAACACCCACAACACGGCGACAACCGTTCCACATGAGCACATTTAAAAAAAGGAAGGTAATAGAAGAACATTTTTTTCTTCTGAAGACAAGCATCCTATTTGGTTTTCAGTGGCTGTCATCTTCAAGAGGGGAATATGCATTCTCTGCTTGGATAACCTAGATCAGGGGTAGGCAACCTTGGCTCTTTTATGACTCGTGGACTTCAACTCCCAGAATTCCTGAGCCAGCCAAGCTGAGGGGAAATGGAGAGGTTTCCAAGCTGAGCCATGCTGGCTCAGGAATTCTGGGAGTTGTAGTCCACAAGTCATAAAAGAGCCAAAGTTGCCTATCCCTGACTTAGGGGATAGTCCTTAAGGACCATTTTGACCCATGGGTCTCCTCTATTTGGGGGGGAGATCCTGTCCCTGACAGTCTCCCTTCCCCCTAAACTGTCTCCTTCTTCCAAATCAAAGGAAGACTCACAACCACAACTGTGCTCCAAATTTCCACTGCTAAGTTGTTATGTGAGTTTTGCCCCTTTTTAGGACCTCTCTTGTGGCCGTTGTTAAAGTGAGTCACTGCAGTTAAGTCAGTAGCACAGTTGTTAAGTGAATCTGGCTTCCCCATTGACAAATCAAAGGGGCACACATGGTGATTACATCACCCGGGGACACTGAACCCATCATAAATGTAAGTCAGTTGCCAAGCGTCCGAATTTTGATCACCTGACCACGGGGATGCTGCAAATGTTCATAAGTGTGAAAAACAGTCATAAGTCCTTTTTTTCAATGCCGTTGTAACTTCAAGTGGTCCCAAATGAATGGTTGAAGGCAAGGACTATTAATAATTCTTTTCAACCTTGAGTCAAGAAATCCCAATTAAGTGATATCTTACAATATGCCTTGGGAAGGGAAAAATTACACCCAGTACAGGTCATTACACCCATTATAAAATTAGAGGAGGGAATTGTGCTTTGAATACTATGTGCTCAGGGGAGGGCAATTCAGATTTTGGCTTAATATCATGGTTCCAACAGATGAAACTCTTCAAAAGAACTTCGAGGCATTGTTTACCTTAAAGAATGTTTATTTGAGTAGCATAGCATTGGCATGTACATAGGCAAAGCAAAATCTGAATTCCCCTCCCCTGAGCACATAGTATCAAAGCACAATTCCCTCCTCTAATTAACAGTCATAAATCACATTCTCCAATTAGTTTGAAACGCAAGGTTTCCCTCCAGTTCTTCAACCCGCCATTTCTTATCATCTCTTATTTCAAAAGACCTTGGTTCTCACACTAGTTACAATATTGTTATGTCTAACTAAACTCCCATACTCATTCCTCTCCCCCCCCCCAGCATCATCTAATTCTAACTCTAATTCTAAGAGTAAAACATAAGAAGGAAAATGGCTGCATCTCCATATATTGTCAAAGCAAGAACATCCGATGTTAGCAGCATTGACACATAGGATTGGAAGGGACATTGGAGATCTTCTAGTCTAACCCCCTCCCCAAGGCAGGAAACCTTATACCACGCCATAAAAATGGATATCCAATCTTTTCTTGAAAATCTCCAGTAACCGAGCACCCACAAATTCTGGAGAGAAGTCGTTCCACTGATTAATTTTTCTCACTGTCAGGAAATTCTTTTTTATTATCAGACTTCATGAGCTTCCAGCCATGGTTTCTTGTCCTGCCCTCAGGGGCTACGCAGCCTGCATCAATGCACAACCAAGTATCACATCGCAACGACACAGAAAGATCTTGAGATTCTTTCTGCGCTAAGAGGTTCCTCCTTCATTCCTAGAGTTTTCCGCACAATTCACATCTGAGCTGTGATTTATCTTACCCGGTAACATTCTGTCCAATTATTTTTAGACTCATAAATCATCTGCCAGGCAAACGTTGCCATTTCTGTTTTAATTAGCACGGTGGGGTGAGAAAAGCTTCTTGTGAATGAGGCTGGTTCCCTTGCCCCACTCTTTTCATCATTTTCTTACTGCCCCTGGCACCTCCCAGGAGAAAAGGACTTTTCTACAATCTGGATAGCAGCGAGCTAATTAGTATGAGTGACCACATCCATAAGGGGTAGTCCTCGATCTTACGACCGCAATTCAGCCCCAAATTTCTGTGGCTAAGGGAGACATTTGTGAAGCAAATGTTGAATTTACTTCCTGGGTGGTAAGGTGCACAAAATAATTTGGTATAATTCGGCTGATAATTGAGAGCTGGGGTGGCGCAGTGGTCAGAATGCGGTATTGCAGGCAAACTCTGCCGACTGCCAGCAGTTCGATCCTGACCGGCTCAAGGTTGACTCAGCTTTCCATCCTTCCGAGGTCGGTAAAATGAGGACTCAGATTGTGTCTGTGTGTGTGGGGCAAATTGCTGACTCTGTAAAATTGCTTAGAGAGGGCTGTAAAGCACGGTGAAGTGCTTTATAAGTCTAAATGCTATTGCTATAATTACATAAACATTATTGGATCCATTAAATAAATATGTATTTATTTCCTTACTTGGCTCGGCTAGGTTCAATCTTGCAGGGATCCAGTTCCACATACTTTTTCTCGTCAAAGATCCGGTGTATGATGACTTTTAAAACTTCATGGAGATAGGGCATTCCCACTATCTACAAAGGAGCAGGAGATTGGGCATCAGGACTCTTGGAGTGCAATTAAACATTTTCACAAGCGCTGAACTGCCGTATCTTATGGTGGGACGTTTGCCCCTTGACCCACCCTTTTTTCCACCATGGCAACATACATCCAGCCTTATCCCATTCTACCCTTCCTCCCCCCCCCCAAAAAAAACCCCCCGATTGGCGTATGAATCAAACTAGACAAAAACCTGGCACCAGACTGAAGTTTCAATTTGAAACATATTCTGTGATTCACAGTATGTCTTTCTTTCTAGCAATTTTTGAGACAGATCCTCCTGCTTCAACCTTCTCCATCCTAATCTATATTCTTCTACTCCTCACTCACCTTCATGAATTGCTCCATGGACTTGGAGGCTAATGAGTTGGACCGGAAGAGAGTGTTGGGATCCGCTGGAAAAGAGAACATGCAGAAATGTGACATTTCTCCTCTAATTATTTAAAGATGAGTAAGTGATGCCCGTGATCATCGTTCCTCACTGCATTTGGCATTCTACTACTGCCAACCGCCAACTCATCTCATCCATGATCTTGTGTTTAAAATAAGCAATTCAACACCGCCCCAACACTCACTCTAAACTTCTTGGCTCATGTTTCATTTTGCTCATGACTACTTAGGTTTCACATAATTTAAAACTAGGTTTAAGGCATCTAGACTCTCATCATCTTTTGTGTATTGTGGGGACCAAAGCTGAGTATATAAAGGCACTTACTTGTTCTTGAAATCTCATGGAAATTCAGGTAATCCAAGAAAGGTATAACCAAGCCCTGCCCAAGGAAGATCTTGACAAGCTTGGTGGATACATCTTGACGACTCTCCACCAAACATACTTCTTCCAGAAGAGCTAGTGGGGTGAGGTCATCTGCCTCCTGCAGAGTAGCACAATACCTATCAGTACACACACCTATGTTTGCCTTCCTGATATTGAAAAAGGCCTTGAGTTCAATCATTTGGTTGAGGATATTGATGGAGAAGTAGAACTGTATGTATTAATCATGTGATGGGTCCATTACAGAACCTGTGTAAATCAGGTAAGGTCTAATTCGAATCTTCAATTCGGTTCAAATAATTGAATAGATTCCATTTGTGATTTCTTTCAACTTTTGTGCTTCAAATGATCAGATTGATTTAATTAGACATTTCTATCTGCAAAGTCTGTCAAATATTTGGGTCAATTCAAAGGCATCCAATGCACTGCTGAAGGTTTGACTTGAAATAATAATTGGATCAAACCAATATTGAATTGAAAGTTTACACGAATGTGTAAATCCCTCTTGACTCTCAAGACTTCAGATTTGAGACAGACTTCTCAAGAGCAACTCCTGCTCTCCTAGAGAACTCTCCAAGGTCCTGTAATCTCAAATTATCCACATATAGAGAAAACTTTGTTCTTTCCTGTTTGCATTGCACCTGTTGATACCAAAACTGGAACTAACAAGCTTTGGCTTGAAATGAAATCTATGTAAAGAACAATTGTTATTTTGGCTTGATACATTTGGCTGTTGTATTGGTTTCAGAATCATGCTAGGCCTAATGTAATTTTTTTCTGGATGAGGTTTAACCGGATGTGTGAATCCAGATCCATGGTGGTTTTTAAGCTGTAATTGATGGCTTCTCATTACCTAGGTATCCAGCCAATGTGAATTATCCAACAAACCACAATTAAAAACAACCATGGCTTAGATTCACTCTCTTACTCACATTCGTTTTGTCCCATGCTTAGGGTGTCTCCCCCTTCTTCCCACATTAAATAATTCAACAAAGTTAGTTCAGTTTTATATAGGTTCTGTTTCAACTACCCACCTCTGGAAGGCATAGGACAGACTCCACAAGGAGGTCTATGAGTGGTTGATAGTAGCTGGAAGGCAAGATCCTATCTTCAGCAAGCCGAACCTGTAATCTTAGTTGACCCAGTTTCCCCCTGCAAACAGAGCAGAGGCCAACATGAAGTCTAATCTGTATGTAATGCTTTGCAAAGAGAGGATTACAAAGGAAGGCTACAGTTTAAAATCAAGAACTGGATGTTCATGAACTTTACGTTGAGTGGACTTTTCAACCTCAGAACGTTCACGTTGATCGGACTTCTCTACCTTGGCAAATTTAAGGTGAGTGGACTTCAACTCCAAGAATTCAACGGGAATTCTGAGAGTTGAAGTCTACCTGTGTAAGATAAGGAATTCTGGGAATTAAAGTTGACTTGTACTGGCTAAGGAATTTGGGGAGTTGAAGTCCATACATCTTAAGGTTTGTGGGGATGAGAAACACTGGTTCAGGGCAACATTTTGAGGAATGACTTGCCTCTGCTTTCTTCCTAGGTCAAAGAGGGATTAGCCAAAAGTTATTCTACCGGTTTGGCGCCTAAGGGAGATCTAGAACTCAAGAATATCCCATTCCTGGTCTGGCTTCTTTAACTACTACACCAAACCATCTCTCGTTAGATCTCTTTAAATTTGAAGTTAGCTCAGCAGCTCCCTAGCTAAGAGCTACAAAAGTAATCCACGGGTCTCTGAAATGAGACAGGATACTTTGGCAAATATCAACAAAGAGCGCCACGATCCCAAACATTGCATGCTTCCTCAAGAGTCCACCCCTTATTTACCCAGCGTCCTCTCCTGCATTGGGCAGAGGAAGCAGGCGGAACCAGCCTTTGAGAATGGTCTTCTGCACGGAGCCCAGACAGAACTTGACCTGCATGGATACCAGAAAAATGCAGATTAAACCCAGGGATCAGAGTTAAATTTGCAGCTACAAAAGGCTTCTTTCCTTTATTTATTTATTTATTTATTTATTTATTTATTTATTTATTCGTTCGTTCGTTCGTTCGTTCGTTCGTTCGTTCGTTCGTTCGTTCGTTCGTTTATTTATTTATTTATTTATTTATTTATTTATTTATTTATTTATTTGCCTCCGCAGTCACAGACCAAGATCAAAGATCGTTCTGTTGCTTGAGAAAAGGAAAAAATAAACAACGAAGCATCTACCAAAATGCAAACATTGAAAAGTAGAATATATGGTTGATGGTCCCATAAAATGGGAAAGAATCGATCAAATCTTACGGACGGTATTTCCTTATAGCTATCAGGACTTTTGTAAACTTTTTTTTGAGGAGGTTGACATAATTATTAGCTAGTCAGGACTGGAAGAGAGAGGGGGTGCTGCAAACATGGGGTTCATAGATGGCATGCCAACCTCTAAGCTCAAGAATTGTGTTGGTTGGACATTCTCCCAGGTTTCCTTCCCAATTGGGTGCTTGGTTAAGCTCAGGCCATGTCCACCTCCTTCATCCATGAGTCTTCTTTGTCCTTACCTGCCCCAGGAAGTCATTCTTGCCCACCATGTCCCAGTCCCAGACTTCTACAACAAGGGGAGTCTCGGAATCAGCCCCCTCTTCCAGGGCAAACTCCAGCATCTCTTCCCAACGTGGGAAACGGGTCTTCTTAATAATCTGAAGAGTCATGAGAGAGGGAAGAATGAGCTTCCTGATCTTAAAGCCTTGGACTCCATCAGTTTACAGGAGTGCAAAGTAGATACAAAGACACTCACAGCGGTTTCCAGGATCTGCCCATTAAACAGTATCCGGGCAAAGGGATCTGAAGTCCCTGAGAGGTCACGTGGCGCTAGATCTCTAAGGGGAAGAAGGCAACAGCAGATCAAGGGAAAGAAAGCGGGGGGGGGGGGAATAGCATATTCTAGATTAGCATATTCTAGACCAGGGGTAGGCAACCTTGGCTCTTTTATGACTCGTGGACTTCAACTCCCAGAATTCCTGAGCCAGCCATGCTGAGGGGAAAGGGAGAGGTTTCCAAGCTGAGCCACGCTGGCTCAGGAATTCTGGGAGTTGAAGTCCACGAGTCATAAAAGAGCCAAGGTTGCCTACCCTTGGTCTAGACTAAGCGGATAGACCATTGATCGTGATCCATTCAAGTGAAGATCTAGCAAAACCATCAGCAGCAAAGAAGAACAAGTTCTGGCACAAGAAAGTTAGATATAATTTTAGCTTATTGAGCAGGAACATCCTGAGGTCATCTCCGTCAGCGACGGCATTGGTGGGAAAACCGAGTTTGATCTTCATCTGAGGTTCTGCCAAATCAAGGGGATTTTCAAGTAACTTTCCGTTCTTTCTCCCAGCTCTTGCACTGCCAAAAATGTTCACAGGTTTTTGTTTTTTTAAAAAAAACCACAAAGTGTTAATTATCTCACTTTCTAAAGGAGGCTGAGAGAAAAATAAAATAAAAATCACACTCCCTTTCAGCAACCTCAACACCTTTCTATTACGGCACCTTCTGCATTTTCACCGGTGGGGGTGGCAGGAGAAGGCCCTCCCACCCTTCCATCGCTTGTCTCGACTTGAAAAGAAGAGCTGGCAGCTCGTTCTGCCTCAGGTGGGTTCTCAATAGGACCCCAAAATTGGTCTCCCAAGAGATCAATGAAAACCTCTGGAAGGACAATCCAGACAAGGTCATGGAAGAGGGAGGGAAGAGGAGGAGAAGGAAGGACAGAATGGGGAGACCATTGGAGGAACTGGGTTTCCATGGCCCAGTTGCAAACCTCTCACGGCCCACTAGTGGGCTGCAGCCCACAGGTTGGGGACCCCTACTCTACAATGCAGAGAGCTGGTTGAGCTCCAGCAAAAGGTTTCTTAGACGAAGTACAAAGGTTAGGGGAGAAAGGGAAGAGCGATGGGTGGCCATAAACGGGGAAGCAACTTATGGACTCGTTTTTCTCTCTAGATCTGCATACAACACCGTCCATATCATTCCCAAGGAATCCCAGCCAGCTTCCCATTCCGTCGGCAGATCTACCTTCCTTCTCTTACTTTACCTCGCTTCGAGGACATGGCAGCAAAGCAACCGTTGATGGCCTTCCTCCACCACCTGCAACTCCAGCGAGATTTCCCCCTGCACCTCCTCGTTGGGGTCCACCTGGCTCAGGTTGATCCAGCTATCGATTCCTGACACAGAGAGAAATCAGGGCCACCTAGCTTCTCTCTCCTCTCCTCCTCGGTGAGTTTTTCCCCTTTCATAGTTGCAGAGAATCTGCCCGGCACTCCGTCCCATTTTTTTCCCCTACTCCCAAGCACTGCACCTTGGTGCATGAATGGTTTCATTTGCAATGATGCAAGTTAATTTCAAGGAAGAGCAAGATTGGATTTATTCAAACCTATACACAAGAATCTGGTCAGCTAAAGTTTGACACTAAATTTGCACCAGATAAGGGTGAGGTAAGGATTCAGACCATTGGTGGCAATGTAATGACTCTGAGCTGATAACATGCTTAACTCCGCCTCCAGTTCTGCCTGCTCTTCTTCTACATCTCCTATCTAAGCAGAGCAAACCCTGCTTAGCATTGCAAGATGAATCCAGAGCCTCTAGGTGCTTTCTTCAACAAGAGCATCCTTTAGTAACTCCCAGATGACTTACCCCTTGGCTGAGATGAAATCTCGTCTTTGCTCAGGGAGATTTTGCCAATGACATCATCATGTCTGCCGAGAAAGAAGCCGAAAGAGAGACCTGAAACCACAATGTTTTGCCCAGGAAGAAAAATAATAATAAAACAATACCTTTGTTCCCTTCCTCTGTTCTACTCCTAACTTCATGGTCTACCTGGGGCTACCCTTGAAGAGTATCTGGAAACTTCAGCTAGTGCAGAATGCAGCTGCATGGACAATTATTGGGGGCTTGGGTTTGACCAGCCCCTCCCCATACGGAAATTGAAAAGAAAGAAAGAAGGAAAGAAGGAAAGAAGGAAGGACGGAAGGGCAGTCAGGTAGGAAGGGGAGGGAGGGGAGAGAAAGGAAAGAAGGAAGAAAAAGAAAGAAAGAGAAAAAAAAGAAAAAGGAAGGCAAGGAGGGAGGGAGGGAAGGAAGGAAAGAAAGAAAGGAAAGAAAGAGAGAGAAAGAGAAAGAGAAAGAGAAAAAAGAAAGAAAAAGGAAGGCAGGGAGGGAGGGAGGGAGGGAACCGTCCAGAATTCTTTGGATAAGATGGACCGGTCAAGCAAATCATCATCATGATCATCAACCATCAACGGAATTCTATCTCTCTTCTTCTGCTTCTTGCGTTCTACTCACCCAATCGTGTCTTCATCCAAGACATAGAAAGAGAGGTTATGAAAGCCCATGGGAAGGTGCAGGGTGTATTCTTCCCCCCAGAAGGGATTGAGGTTCTTCCAAACTGTGGCAGTTCTGAAGGACAGAAGAAAGGGAGGGAGGTCTTTTGACCTGGCTGGCTGAGGCATTCTGGGAGTTGAAGTCCACAGGTCATCAAAGGGCCAAGTTTGAAGACCCCTGCCCTAGAGGGAATCAAGATTGGGGATGCCCCTGCCCAAATCATGGATGCTTTGGCCAGATTCTTTCCCAGGAGAAGATCAAGGGGGTTCTTTCCATGTTTCTGCCTCGTGGGTTGCCGAGCTACCTCTTACACCCATTTCTAAAGGGACACAGTAAATGCTGAAGGAACCAGCATCCCTTAAAAAGTTGCTCTTAGACTGGAAACCTTTAGGTTAGATGTTTCCCATTGAAACTGTGGCCAATTCGTTGTTTTTTCCCCCTAATTCCTTTAAGCAAAACCCCCACTTCCATCTTCCCGTTTTTATTGTTGATAACCATCTTAACAACTCAACCTTGACAGCATGCATCCTAAGAACAATATAGGGGTAAGCCCTCTTTGGAGGCTAGTGAGCGCATTTTGCGAAGGACAATAATTACAATCAGAATAAGAACAATAACAGGATCTGCCTCCCCCAGGTCCTTGAAAATAAAAATGTCAAATCTAATCCCCTTGAGCGCCATCGGCCTTGACAAAATCCCCACCAGCTTTGTTTGGAACAGCTTGCAATGAGACTTTTAACACCATCAACCAACAACATCTGCCTCTCCCTCCTCCTGCTGCTCTCTGCAAACCCTATTCCCTTCTAGCACTGATGATGCTACCTACTTGGGTCATGAAACATCTGCAAGAAAACCACCAAGCTCAAAGAGCACCAAGGACCCCCCAGTCCTCCTCCTCCTCCTCCTCCTCCTCCTCCTTTTTGCAAACCCCACTCCCTTCTAGCACTGTTGATGTTACCTAGTTGGGTCATGAACATCTGCAAGAAAACTACCAAGTTCAGAGAGCACCAAGGGCCCCACAGTTCAACCCGGAGCTACCAAGATTCTCTTCTATCAATCTGTTGATATTATAACCTCAATCCCATTGTGGTTTGTTTGGCACTGTACTCTCTCCTGATCCTTTTCTTGGACTAAAATGCAGGTTTACCCCTTGAAAGTTCTTTTCAAGGGAAATAAGATTTTTTTTTCTTTCTTTAAGCCCTGACACACACACATTCTTTCAACAGCAACACACAAATCCCATTTCATGCTCTCCGGTCCCTGCTCAGCACTTCCTGCTGGGGAAGAAAGTGTGGAGTTGCTGCCAAATGCCACACCTTCCCTTGCACTTACCGTGCCACAATTTCATTGTCTACCTTGATGATACAATAGGGATCGCTTGTGCCAGACCTGGAGGGAACAAAACAACGCCACGGATGAGCCTTTGGTGCCAATTACAAACACATCGACAAGTTCAAAAGCAAGCTTTCTCCACCCAGAGCAACTTTGCAATCCGGACACTAAGCGAGACAGCCGCTAGGTTGAGTTTTGCCCCATTTCACGACCTTCCCTGCCACAGTGCCTAGGTGAATCTCTGCAGTTGTTAAGTGAGTCCCACAGTTGTTAAGTGAATGTGGCTTCCCATGCTTGTCAGAAGCTCACAAAAGGGATCACGTGACACAGTGCAACCGTCATAAACATGAGCCAGTTGATCACGCGACCGTGGGGATGCTGCAACAGCCTTGTGAAAAATGGACATGTATTGTTGTTTTTTCCCCCAGTGCCGTTGTAACTCTGAACGGTCACTAAATGGACTGTTGTAAGGCGAGGACCACCTTTACAATCGGAGATGCAGCCCCACAGGAGCAATCTTGGCAAAATTCAGTGCAGCTTAAATCCCAGCTCTCCGGAGATCAAACGGCAGATGGCAAGTCCTTAATTTTATTTTCCATATATTTTATTCATTTTTGTAGGGTTAGGGTTAGGGTTAGGGTTGGGTTGTTTTTTTAAATAACATTCTTAATATTTAGCAAACAGCATATTGTCTGGGTTCATGTCTTTAAAAAACAATAAGTAAGAGTGAGTTTCTACATTATCATAATCTATATGTTAGTTAATCGCTCAACCGTCTTTTTTTTACTAGCATACAGTATATTCAATGTTGCATAGTACATATCACATTCCTTTCTCTCTAACTCGCTTTTCTAGCCATTGGTAAAAATTGTCGCAATTCCTTAATTGTGTTGTTGGTCCTGGGGGCTTTGCTCAAGTTTGAGGGTTTCCGGGGTTGTTGTTTTTTTGCGATGAACAAACCGCCACGTTCTCCAGCTGCCTGCCACACGCCTGGGTGAGCCGCTGCAGGCCAGCACCGTGATGCCCCCTTGTGATTATGTACAGCCCCTCCTTCGCCATTATTTATAGACTAATATCTGGCCAAATCGTAACTTGATCGCTAATAATAGGAGCTGGACGCCCTTTACAAAAAAATCTAATGAGGCAGCTCTAAAATCACCCTCCCGGAATGCAGATACTGCTGCCTTATTATTGTTGTTGCTGTTGTGGTTGATCGCACAATCAGAGTGGGTTTGGCATTTTTAAATGCTCCAAGGATCTAGGCTAGGTGGACACCGTTGCTTGAGGGTGGTGTTAAAGGCCACATCACAGGACGCAAGCTGTTCCATGTACAGACGAGTCCTTGACTTACAACAGTATATTTAGTGACCGTTCGAAGTTGCAGCGTAACTGAAAAAAAGTGACTTATGGCTGATTCTCACACTTACGACAGTTGAAGCATCCCCGTGGTCACGTGGCCAAAATTCAGACGCTTGGCAACTTAGTTTTTCTTAATTTTATATATATGGGGCCTCCGGGTTGTGTTTTTCTAGCTCTTGAATGAGCATCGCACAAAAGCATCTCTTGCTAAATCCATGGCAACAACCGGGTTATGTACGTGTGTGTGTCAAAGGCAAGCCATTGTTGTGATGCTCAAAAATGATGGAGAAGGTTTTTTTTTTCCCCTCTTGGAATGAATCCAATGCTTTAGATCCTGGGTCCACTTCAACTGAAAGGTTCTGGGTCCCACAGAACCTCTGGACAAAAGCCTTTGGCCACAAGCAATGCCAACCGCAGGTAAAAAGTGGTCCAAAGTCTTTTCCTTTCTGTGACAGGAAACAAATCAATATTTGAGTAGCTGTCACAGAGAAGAAGGGGTTGACTTCTTCTCCAAAGCACCAGAGGGACGGACAAGAAGTAATCGGTGGAAGCTTCTCAAAGAAAGTTCCAACCTAGAATTAAAGAGAAATTTCTTGTCAATGAGAATAAATAACCAGTGGAGCGACTTGCACCCAAAAATTGTGGGTGCTCCATCGCTGGAGGTTTTGAAGAAGAGATTGGACAGTCATTTGTCCAGAATGTTATAGGGTCTCCTGTTTGATCAGGAGGTTATTAGAACATAGAATAATAGAGAGGAAGGGACCTTGGAGGTCTTCTAGTCCAACCCCCTGCAGGAGATCCTATACCATTTCAGACAAATAGTTGTCCAGTCTGGTTTTTGAAAGCTTCCAGTGATGGAGCACCCACAACTTCTGGAGGCAAGCTGTTCCATTGGTTGATTGCTCTCACCGTTAGGAAATTTCTCCTTAGTTCTAGGTTGCTTCTCTCCTTGGTTAGGTTCAACTAGAAGACCCCCAAGGTCCCTTCCGACAACTCTGTTATTCTGTATACTATATAAATTGCAATAGCATTTAGACATATGTTCCACTCCGTAGTGCTTTACAGCCCTTTCTAAGCGGTTTATAGAGTCAGCCTTTTGCCCCCAACTATCCGGGTCCTCATTTTACCAACCTCGGAAGGATGGAAGGCTGAGTCAACCTTGAGCCGGTCAGGATCGAACTGCTGGCGGTGGGCAGAGTCAGCCTGCAATGCTGCATTCTAACCACTGCGTCACCCGGGCTCTATATTTATATCAATATAAATTATGCAGAGAGAAATATTGACCTCGAGATAAATCAAGGCTTCATTTGTAGGCTGGAAACCTGAAGTGAGACAAAACTCTCAAAAGGTTCCAAAGAGATGCATTGTGGGAAGGAAGGTTTACTCAAGAGTTGCTTGTTCCCAACATCTGATTACGGTTCATATCGGCCGTGTTTGCAGAGAGATCATAAAAAGACTAAGAAGCTGCTGATGAAACCAAGCTAGTATTTGTTTAAAGCTTTGGGCTGTGTTATTCAGGATTAAGAGTGGGGCTCTTTGTAGTACAATGTTGGGGATTGTTTAAACTTAGTGGGTAGAAATGAACTACACAGAATCAGAGGGCAGGATAAGTAATGAAGGGCAAGCTTGTGAAAGAGAGATTCAACCAAGGAGTAAGGAGAAATTTCCTATCAGTGAGAACAATTAACCAGTGGAACTGCTTGCCTCTGGAAGTCGTGGGTGCTCCATCACTGGAGGTTTTCAAAAATAGACTGGAGAACCATTTGACCGGGATGGTATAAAGATGATCTCCTGCCTTGAGTAAAGGGTTGGACTAGAAACCATTGCTCGCTAATAAAGAGGAGGTATTTTGCAACCGGCTGGCTTCCTGTTTAGAACTTTTATTAGAATAATCCCTTTCAAAATGTCAGGCGTGGGAAACAGCCTAGGGAGCATTGAGAAAGAACCAGGAAGAAGTACATATTTCCTGCAAAAACACTATTTAACTTATGTCTAGTTTAACAGTTAGGGCAAACTGGTCAGTTGTAGTTGATTTAAACCCTAACAAACCACGGCTTAGTGAAACCCTAACCCTGATCCAATGTCCGGGGGGGGGGGCAAGGAGAGTCCATTTCTAGCAGTTCTGGCGAATCAGCACAAATAAATTGCGTTTAAGTGAATGCTGTGTTTGCAATTAGAGGGTTGGGCAGGACTCCCCAAAGTGTTTGGTTTTGATTCAGTGGCTAATCCCTATTCAGTTATTTCAACAGTAATTAACTGGAAGGGGCTCTCCGGTGCAGCTAGTTCTCACTGACTTTTGCAACTGAGTCTGAATTGCAGGTAAGTGTGAATAGAAGGGACTGTCCTTTTCTATTTTAAAAAAATGCTTGAGAGCTTGCCTTGAGAAGTTGTGGGTGCTTCCTCACTGGAGGCTTTTAAAAAGAGACTGGACAGCCACCTGTCTGAATTGGTATAAGGTCTCCTGTTTGGGCAGGGGGCTGGACTAGAAGACCTCCAAGGTCTCTTCCAACTTCTATTCTATTCTATTCTATTCTATTCTATTCTATTCTATTCTATTCTATTCTATTCTATTCTATATTTCTATTCCATTCCATATTCTATTCTATTCTATTCTACTCTACTCTACTCTACTCTACTCTACTCTACTCTACTCTACTCTACTCTACTCTACTCTACTCTACTCTACTCTATTCTATTCTATTCTATTCTATTCTACTCTACTCTACTCTACTCTACTCTATTCTATTCTACTCTGTTCTACTCTGTTCTATATTCTATTCTATTCTATTTCGGTTATTCTATTCTATTCTACATTCTATTCTATTCTACTCTACTCTGTTCTATATTCTATTCTATTCTATTCTATTCTACTCTACTCTATTCTATTCTACTATTCTACTCTACTCTGTTCTATATTCTATTCTATTCTATTTCGGTTATTCTATTCTATTCTATTCTACATTCTATTCTATTCTATTTCTGTTATTCTATTCTATTCTACTCTACTCTATTCTACATTCTATTCTATTCTATTTCTGTTATTCTATTCTATTCTATTCCTACAATGTTCAGGTTGAAACCGAACGTTTCTTTAAGTCTTGGGGATAACCTCAACCATCCATTTCCAGCCAAGGCTGATTCTGTCCCAGCCCACCTGGAAGGAAGTCGCTTAAGAGGCTTGGCCCAAGACAAAAGGGAAGGTCCCATTTTGAGAGACACTAGCCTTGACGGATGCTTGCAAATGCATCTATCTTGAATCTAACCCTTGTTTTAAAAAGCACTCGGAGCTCTCCAATTCCCTGGAATGTCTGCCTGCTCACAGATGGGGGAGTCAGCTTGCTTGGAAACCGCCAGAGTCCTTTCCAAGACTCTTCATGCCAAGAGTATGGGGTCTGGGCAGGGGGGAGAAGAATGGGGAAGGAAGGGGGAAGTGCAAAGCTCTTTCTCCCCCCCCCCCTCAAAAGTTGCTTCATCTCTGGCCCAGTTGCTTGGAGACTGTATAACCCATTCCCTTTTTTCTTCCACAGTTAAGAGAAAGCCACCACCTAGGTTAGAAACCGGACCTGCCTTGATCTCAGCGGTCTTTTAATCTGTTCATTTTTTTTCCCCCTTGGACAAGGAGGACAAGAAATCCCTTGCACCCAAGCTTTGGGTTTCAAGCGGAGCTGCGACTTTTGTGCCCCGCCTGGGGAGCCTCCCGCTGGCAAGGCGGCTGACAACTCTTTCCAAGGCACCCAGTTCTGCTCCGGAGCAAAACCTTGGCAGCGACAACTACGCCCTTCGAGTATAACGGAGCCCTCCAGCCTCCTCCATCCCACCCTCCCTTTGGGATGGCGCCCGGCCGGAGGCGCTTCTTGCCTTCGCCCGCCCCGTCGGTCCCTTTGCGCCCCGGCCGCTCGGAATGGGGCTCCGCAGTCCGGCCAACTCACACGTCTTTGGCGGGCAGGTCCCGTCCCTCCACCACGCGGAAGTGCAGCGCAGTGTTCCTGGCCATGCCGCGGCAGGCGATGGGGAGGCGACCGGTTGCTTCTCCCGCGGGGGTCCCGGAGACCCGACCCAGCAGGGCTGGGGGAAGAAAGGCAGGAGGGGGAGAGCACCTTCCCGGCCACCCCGAAGCCCTGCAAGCCGGAACGTCCCCGAGGCTGCTCGAAGGCAGGCAGGCAGGCAGGCAGGCAGGCAAGCAGAGGAACCGGTCCAGCCAGCTGGCGAGCTCCGCTGGGTTCAGCGCCTACCTGCCAGCTGGCGCTGGCTGTGCCTGCTTCGCACCGGGCGGCCCCGACGCTTCTGCGAGGCTACAGGTTGCCCAGGCGAGGCGGAGAGGGCCGGTCGCCTCCTTGTGGCAAGGACCGGGGGAGCCACTGGGTTCTCTTGCCAGTCTGATGAGTGGCTTGGAAGAGTGGGAAGAAGAGGAGAGCCGGCCAGCTCAGCGGCCAGAGCCCGCCCAGCCTCCTCCTCCTCCTCCTCCTCCTCCTCCTCCTCCTCCTCCCGCCAGCGGGGGGTGCAACGGGGTGTGTGTGTGTGCTTCCGAACACGAGCTGGAGGAGCGCACGATTCGAATCCGCGAGAGCACTAGAATGAGAGTTACCCAGATCTGAGGAGGTGGAGGAGGAGGAGGAGGAGGAGGAGGAGGAGGAGAGGAAGAGGAAGAGGAAGAAGAGGAGGAGGAGGAGGAGGAGGAGAAGAAGAAGAAGAAGAAGAAGAAGAAGAAGAAGAAGAAGAAGAAGAAGAAGAAGAAGAAGAAGAAGAAGAAGAAGAAGAAGAAGAAGAAGAAGAAGAAGAAGAAGAAGAAGAAGAATCTGGGGTCTCAACAGAAGGCTGAAGATGCCACCCTTGGACTGATACCTAGTCTGATCTTGGCAGGACTCCTCGGGCACATACAAGCCATGTCCTAAAGCTCTGAGCGGCGCTTGATCTGAGCAGTGATTTCCTGCTAATCCCAACACCTTCCTGGATCCTTGAGTAGTTTGCAGTAACCTTTTGCCAGCTCCAGCTCAACAATCTGGCTGCAGTTATCCATGCCTCAGTAAACACCCAGGACATGCGAAAGCGCCCTGGGGCAGGTGTTCCCTAGCAACTGGAATTTAGAGTTAGCCTGCCTCTTGTTCTACGCAGATAAACGCCGGGTGACTGTGGGCTTCACCTTTCTTCGGCTTTGTGGCTTTGCGGTAGTGAATTATGGAGAGTTACTACATGCTAAGTCAGCACGCGTTGCAGACGTGTGGCCCAGGATGCCGCCGGGATCCGAGGACACCCTCCCCGGCCTGCCTGTGCCCAAAACGTCAGCTCTTTTATTTATTTATCTATTTTTCTCCTCCTCCTTTCGGAGAGTTTAAGGAGTTTAAAGGGCAAAAGCTATTGCAGCATTTTTTTAAAAAAAAAAAAATCCCCTAAAAAAATTAATATACCCTGCATTTTGGAATGCAACCTTTTGACAGGGCAGGAAACGTCCTTAGGACAGCAGAAATTCATTTCTGTGTGAGAAGGTGCTCTTTTTTTTGTCCAGGTCGAGCGAGAAAAACAAGCCAACGGGATGGCTAAGGACACAGACTGAATTTGTCGTAAACCAGACCATTGGCTGAGGGAGACTTCAGCCCCCCCTCCCTTTTATTCTAAATTAAATGCTGCAGTCTGATTGGCTCATGGACTCAGAAGTTAGGCAGAGTTTCTGCTGGACACCTGGCTTTGCAATAATGTGTGTGTGGGAGAGAGAGAGAGAGAGAAAGAGACAGAGACAGAACGAAAGAGACAGACAGACAGAGACAGAGAGACAGAGACAGAGAAATAAAGATAGAGACAGAGAGACGGAGACAGACAGAGAGACAGAACGAAAGAGAGAGAGACACAGAGAGACAGAGACAGAGAGACAGTCAGAGAAAGAAAGATAGAGACAGAGGGAGACAGAGAAAGAGAGAGACAGAGACAGAAACAGAATGAAAGAGAGAGAGACAGACAGACAGACAGACAGACAGACAGAGTCAAAGAAAGAAAGAGAGAGAGAGAGACGGAGACAGAGAGAGAAATAGAGAGAGACAGAGACAGAGAGACAGACAGAGTCAGAGAAAGAAAGAAAGAAAGAAAGAAAGAAAGAAAGAAAGAAAGAAAGAAAGAAAGAGGGGGGGGGGCTAGCAGAGGCTTCTCTAAAGCTATTTTCATTTTAGTTTTCCTTTATTCCCCATCCCACCCCCCAAAAAGCCTTTATTACATTTCAAGAAAGGATAAAATGCAACTAGAGCAAAGAAAAAGGAGTTTAAATAAAAAGAAAGGAGCAGGGGGGGAAATTGGGAATTGTAAACAAAAAGGGGAAAAAGATAACTTTCTGGCTTTCTTCAATACAGATTTTTAAAAAAGACTCTTTGAACTAGAACAAACCATAACAAACAGTACTTCTGTCATTGTGATCAATAATCCAATCATCAAAACCCAGAGTTAAATGTTCATTTCTTTCATTTTCAGACAAAAAAAAAATCCAAGTTTTTTTAGTTTTCCAAATGGGTGATGGACTAGAAGAAATTGTCATCTGCAAATTAAAACTGTGAGTGCATTTCCCTTATTCCTTTATCACACATCTCATCTGTGAAACTGATGTGTAAAAGATTCAGGCTGTATTCACACAACACGTTTAACTAGGTCAGGTAGAGATTTTGAAGTATTTCCCCCCACACACACACAACCAAAACTGTACACTTGCTTAGTGTTAAACCATGATTCATCTCTCTCTGTGTGTGTGTGGTGTGCAGTTTAGGATTTGGGGAATCTGGACCCATTTAGTTACTGTCTGGTGAAGTACATTTTTGTGCAAAGACAGAAAATGGATTTAGTAATTAGGTGAATTGGGTTGTGTGAATGCTAAAGAATGAGAAATGTTGTTAAGAATTTGGCCTTTCCCAGAGGACAATCCATCACAAATTGGGAGAGAATATACAAAGGTCATCTGGGCTGAATCCTGGAACTTTGGTTTTTTTTTTTTTTAAATATTATGATGAAATCCTTTATGTGCAATTTTACTAGGATGAAAAAATCAGGAATAAGGGGCCATGAAGGTCAATTGTACACCTTATACCAGGGGTCTTCAAACGTGGCCCTTTGAGGACTTGTGGACTTCAACTCCCAGAATTCCTCAGCCAGCGTGCACGCGTTGAGGTCCACATGTCCACAAGGGCCAAGTTTGAAGATCCTTGCCTTATACAGAGTAAATCTCTTCTAAAGTTTGACCCTTGCCTCACCGTGATTAAAAACGCCTCTAACCAGGAATAATAAATAATAAATAAATATTGGCAGGGGAGGGAAAGGGGAAAAATAAAAGCCCCAGAGTGTCTGAACCTTCCTTTTTTTTTCCTTCACAGGACTAGGATGTTAAGTTAGGTGGAAGTGTTTAAATTGCCACTTCTTTCACAGCTGGGCTGTGTCACCCAACATTCCTGCCAGCGGACTAGCTGTAAGTGTGCAACGTTTTGGGGGGGGGGGAAAGCCAAAAGGCAAGTGTGACAGCCAAATGTGGCTTTCTAACAAGTCTCCCCCCACCACCAACACACAAACACAATCACTTTTTTTTTCCAAGTCCAGTTGCACTTTCCCCCCCCCCAAGTCCAGCAGAGGGGGGGGGAGACAGGGAGGCTGAAACTATAATATGCAATGAACAGCTGATGGGCTTCAGCTCAAATGGGTTTTGAGGTTTGCTGGGGACGTTCTGCCCCCTTCCTTGCCCTGGACCTTGGGTGCACCAAGCCATCATCTGGTTCATTTGCCGATTTCTCGCGTGTCGTGTGAACGCAGCGCCCCTGCCCTTGGCTCGCGCAAGTTGAGTCCCTTCGCGAGTTGTTGACCAACCCCCGGCAGAAACCAGCCTTGCTCGCGTCTGCAGGCTGCGCGGGAAGAGCGGGGGGGGGGGGGAAGGAGGAGGAAGAACGCGCGGTTGCTCATCCCCGACGGACGCGTCGCCCCGGCAACAGAACGTTGTGCTGGCCGTCTCCCTGGCAACCGGCAGGGGAGCTCCCGGGACCGCTTTGTCCTGCAAGCTGTTGCTTCGCTGGCCCCTCGGGGTCGCTCCGGTGTGGCTGGTGGGGAGGGGCGAAAGGGAGCCATGGCTTCGGATTTAGAGGAGAGGGTCCGCGCCGCCGTCAGGGACAAGCTGATGACGATGTAAGGCCCGGGAAGGGGCGCGCGGGGTGGGGTGGGGGGGGGTCTTCAAAGTTTGACCACTTGCAGAAGGTGCGAGTAAAAAAAAAAAAAATTTAACCAGTGGAACGGCTTGCCTCTAGATGTTGTGGGTTCTCCATCGCTGGAGGCTTTTAAGAAGAGCCTGGACGCCCCCCCCCCCGTCTGGAATGGTATATAGGGTTTCCTGGCTGATCATGGGGTTGGACTAGAAGACCTCCAAGGTCCCTTCCAACCGTATTGTTCTGTTCTATCTTCTAAGAGCCTTTGCAAAAAAAAAATCCATCAATTAATAAATAAATACAGGTGGTCCTTGACTTGCTACCACAATTGAGCTCAACATTTCTGTTCCTAAGCGACACCTTTGTGAAGTAGAGTCTTGCCCCATTTTACGACTTAGTGGGACGGTTGTTTAAGGGAATCGTCTCCCCCATTGACTATGCTTCTCAGAAGGTCGCAAAAGGGGGTCAGGCGACACACACTGCAGCAGTCGTAAATATGAGTCAGTGGCCAAGCGTCTGAATTTCAATCACGTGACCCCGAGGAGGCTGCAACGGTCCTAAGTGTGAAAAATGGTCGCCGGTCCCTTTTTTTCAATGCTGCGGCAACTTCGAACAGTCACTAAATGAAGGATTGTAAGTCAAGGACTTACCTGTAAGAGTCTTGGCCGACCTCCTTCGTACCTGCTTGGCCCTTTGTTTAACTGGGTTTCTGGAACTGTGATCTTCTCAGCTGTTTAGACTCAACTGAGGCTTGGCTTGGTCTCTTCCAGGAAAATCCCAGAGAGAGAAAACGACTTTTTGCCCTCGTCCTGCTGCCTGTTAGAGAAGCAGAGAGAACTGGCCGAAGTGGAGAAGTCTTTCTTGGCCACCAAAGAGGTAAATCTGGGCGACGTGAAGGGCACCAACGGATGTGGACTTCATCTCCCAGAATTCCCCGGGGAGCAGGGCTCTTCGTAATCACGTCGGAGGTTAGAATGACACAACTGGACAGCCCTGGGATAGGGAATATTTAATGCATCTTGGATATTTGCATGTAAAGGAACTTTAAAGTCTTTGAGCTGGGTTGTTTAACATCCTACAAATGTTTCATTACCCAACTAAGGAACATCATCACTGCCAATAATAGCAATAGCAATAGCACTTATATACCGCTTCACGTTGCTTTACAGCCCTCTTTAAGCAGTCACCGCATTGCCCCCAACAATCTGGGCCCTCATTTTACCCACCTTGGAAAGAAGGAAGGCTGAGTCAACCTTGAGCTGGTGAGAATCGAACTGCCGAACAGCTGGCAGTCAGCAGTCAGCAGAATTAGCACTACTACTGCATTCTAACCACCGCACCACCACGTCTCTAATATAACCCTAATATCACATCATTGCCATGCATTGCCTCCTCAGCGGTGCACTGATGATGTTCCCTAGCTGGGTAATGAAACGTCTGCAACCGTCACAACTATGGGTCGGTTGCCAAGGGTCTGAATGTTGATCCCATGACCCTGGGGATGCTGTCACGGTCGTAAGTGTGGGAAAATGGTCGTAAGTCACTTTCTTCAGTGCTGGTGTAACTTCAAAGTCACTAAAAGGACTGTTGTAAGATGAGGACTGTCTGTATTACGTGAAGATTCAGTGGAGCTAATGTACTGTTGGGTTCTTCCTTGGTAAAGCCATTGTTTTAACATGGAGTAAGGTAAAATATTGCCGAAACTAAAATATATTTCCTACTAAGATGAGGCATGAATATTCTCTGACTACTTTTGCTCTATCAGCCTTCCTTCATTTGGATGAGAAAATTTGCTGCTGGTTTTTTTTTCTCCCCCCCCCCCCGGAGAAAACAAATTTGAAGGATACCTCCAAGGTGGAATGTGATGTTCTTGCACCTTACTTTGTGAGTGCAAATGTCCTCCTTTCACAGCACCATTCTCTCTCCAGTAATCTCAGGAGAGAACAGTTTCCAGGGTGTGGGTTTTTTTTTTTAGTAATAACGATACTGTTAGTGCTAAGAGAAGAGTCTTGTCGAAACGGTTGATGAAATTCTTCTTCTCCTGGAGGTGGTGCAGATGGGATGGAGAACATCAAAAGTTCATTCCACAACACTCTGCTCCAGAGATTCCCAGACTTCTCCAGCTTAAAAATGATCCTTAAAAAGAGAGAGAGAGATGGCAGGTGAAAAACGGTTAGGTCGTGCCAAAAGTCATTTTCCAAAAGGCGACTGGACCTTCTGAGAACATATTTGGAAGAGACCTTAGAGGTCTTCTAGTCCAACCCTCTGCTTGAGCAGAAGACCCTGCACCATTTCAGACAAATGATTCTCCAGTAGGTTTTTTTTAAAAGGCTCCACTGATGGAGCACCCACAACTTCTGAAAGCAAGTTGTTCCCTTAGTTGGTTGCTCTCACTCTTAGGAAATTCCTCCTTAGTTCTTGGTTGCTTCAGTCCTTGATTAGTTTCCATCCATTGTTCCTCATCTTGCCTTTTAGTGCTTTGGAAAATAGTTTGACCCCCACCCCTCGTCTTTGTAGGAGACCTTGGTTTTGGTTTTCGTTTTTTCCAAGTCCAGTTGCCTTTTGGAAAAGCACCTTTGGGAATCAAAGAAGGTCAACTTCAAGCTCCTTATTTTCCTTGTTCCAAAGCATTTGACCACCTCTTGTCTTCAGCTGCTCTCCTCTGTCTCTTCTTCCCCTTTCCAGGAGTTCCAGAAGAAGATGGAACACTTGCAGCAGCGACGGCAAGAGCTGGAACACAAAGAGGGTCAACTCAAACAGGCCATTCTGAAGTTCGACAAGTTCTTGAAGGTCTGTGGTCAGCAACGAAGCTCAGTATTAGAACACAGAACCTAGAATCTTAGGGCTGGGTGGTGAACATTTTAATTTGATTTGAAGTGGTTGGGGTCGACCCCAAACCTGGAAGGGTTTTCAGGCGTGATCTGGGACCATTTTCTCTCTTGTAGGAGAACGACGCCAAACGGAACCGGGCGATGCGGAAAGCTGAGCAGGAGAAGCAGCAGGTGGCTGAGAAGGAGGTGGAAGGAGAACACCTCAAGCAGGAAATGGCCCGGTTGATGACAGCGAAGACGAAACTTCAACAACGCCTGGCAGCTCATAAGCCTTTCTCCGAGTATCTGCAGAAAGTCCTGGGCAAGACGGAGCAGGTGAGTAGGTGAGGTGATGGGAAGGTTACAACTTCCCAGGCTGGCGAAGGAGAACTCGGTCAAGAAAGTCAACATCCCGATCCGTGTGGTTTTTCTCTGTAAATTATTTATGTATTTACCTTATTTTGGTGCCCTCAAGGTAGTGATGGCCCCTGGCAACTGTTTTGTGGCAGGAGGTTTCAAAGTTTCTCAGAGATTTTTCAGGGCTGAGAGGGAGAGACTGGCCCAAGGTCATCTAGCTGGCTTTCGTGGCCAAGGTGGGACTAGAACTCACCGTCTCCTGGTGATTGGCCAAAGTCATCCAGCTGGCTTTCCTGCCTAAAGTTGGACTAGAACTCACCGTCTCCCGGTGATTGGCCTGAAGCAACCCAGGTAGCTTTCATGGTCAAGACAGGACTAGAACTCACCGTCTCCTGGTGATTGGCCCCAAATCAACAAACCTGGCTTTCATGCCTAAAACAGGATTAGAATTTACAGTTTCTCGGTATCTAATCTGGTGTCCTTCGTCACCACATCAAACTGGCTCTCTCGGTTGTTATTAGTGGTGTTTTGTTTTAAACACTTAAGCCCCCCAGATTTGTACTGGAGTCAGGCGGCCCTCCAATCAAATCAGGTCATCTCCAACACGTCTGTTTCCATCTCTTTCTCTCACTCTTTCGTTTGGCTGGTGGGAAAAGGAGAACATCGTTTTCCCTTCTGGTCGTTCCTCGTAAATGGATCTCAGATTCTGCAACACAGTCCAAAGCTATAGCACCACCCTTTCTCCTTCCCCCACCCCAAATTACTTGCTTATGAAAAAGCATTGTTTCTAGGACAGTTATCGCTTACAGGGTCCTAAATGATCCTAACTGAAGGACAACCTCTAGTGGTTTTTGGGTCCTCCTTTTTTTTTTTTTCTCGTTCTGCAGTTTCAGGAAATCTCGGAGTTGATCGGTCGCTTCCAGACTCTGATGGCCACCCAGGCCAGTTTGGTCCAGAGAGAACAAGTTGCCCGTGAAGCCGTGGAGGAGGAGCGCAGGTGCCTGCAGCAGTACATGGATGAAAGCAGCAACAGGATTTTACAGCAAAACAATCTGGTGGCTCAGCTCCAAGGCCAGCTGGAGCAAAGCCAGGCCAAGTTCCTTGAACTGGTGAGTGGAGGAAAAAGTGAATATAGAACAGAAGGCTGGAAGGGACCTTGGAGGTCTTCTAATCTAGTCCAACCTCCTGCTCAAAGCAGGAGACCTTATTTCCTTGTGGTCAAAGGGCTGTCCAGTCTGTTGTTTTTTTTAAAAAAAAAACCTCCATGTTGAGACTCCAGAAAGAGAGCAGAGAAGAGCAACAAAGGGGACTGGAGGCTAAAACATATGAAGAACGGTTGCAGGATTTGGGTATGTCTAGTCTAGTGAAAAGAAGGACCAGGGGTGACATGATAGCATCTTCCAGTATTTGAGGGGTGCCACAAAGAAGAGAGGGGTCAACCTCTTCTCCAAAACACCTGAAGGCAGGACAAGAAGCAACGGATGGAAACTAATCAAGGAGAGAAGCAACCTAGAACTAAGGAAAAAATTCCCGACAGTGAGACGAATTAGCCGGTGGAACGACTTGCCTCCAGAAGTTGTGGGTGCTCCATCACTGCAGATTTTCAAGAGACTGGACAGCCATTTGTCTGAAATTGGCATTGGGTCCCCTGCTTGAGGAAGGGGCTGGATTAGAAGACCTCCAAGGTCCCTTCCAACCCGATTATTCTGTTAGGCAATATCTTA